AACTGAATATCCGAGAGTTTTCTATTTTCAAAAAGATATGTCAGTGTTTCGCTGAAAGCAAAACGGCAGTCTTGCTTTCTTCATTTTTCTTATCTTCTGCTGCGCATCAATTCGGGATGAACAGGAATTGTATAGCTGGTCGTTTGTTACGAAAATATCGCACATAAGAGCTTCAAGGCCAAAATCTGTCTCTTAGTGCACCCTTCTTTCGTCTTCTTTTCGTGCTCATTCTCACTGCACATGTCAGTCCGAATAATAAAACAAGGAAGTACTGGGGTTCTATAATGGCGGGTGCAATAGGCTTTTTCAAGGACAACCTATACCGCTTAATGCGAATCCGAACTAAGTATAAAGTGTGACCTTAAGCGCTAGCTTTAACAGTCATTGCATGGTTACACTGTTGCATTTGACCGGCAAATAGGTTTTGTTTTGCGTCAACTAAATCCGGAGAAGCAGCTAAACGTACACAAAATGAGAGGAGGTTGGAACGAGATAAAATTAATTATATGTAATGCTATTTAAATTTTTCTAAAGTTACGCCTATAAGGGCTTTTTAAGACCCAGTAATAAGGTGCTATTAGGTAATTTTAGATAGATTTGAGTACTTAATCTTTCTGATGAACGGTTTGCTTGGTTAAGTGTCGAAAGGGTGATCATCAAAAAATGCGACAACAGCACAATTTCTATTGCTATGGTCTGGTGTTGGCTAGTTCCAAATCAAAATGCTTTGTACAACCAGTAGGCGTTGCCGGTCACTTTTGCTCCTGAAACTGCTTTATATCGTACATGTCAATACCATGTATATGGCATGCGAGAACTCATTGCCAGATTATAAATAGACAACTCCGGCAGTCGCTAATATAAGACGTATTAATAAAGTTTATCATATTCCACAAACCCAATCGAAGAGTATCTTCTTCTAACGACGGTGCGATCGTCTCTATAACGCCGGCTATTTGGAAACTAATGAAAAGCTGCTCGCGAATTATCGTAGCTTTCTATAAATCGCTAGCTTTGTAAAACCTTTCGGTGTTTAGGCTCAGAGAACTGCTCTTACTCACACACAACAATCTCAGCTCTTAAACGGAATCATCTACGGATCAGGTCGATGCTATCAAAACAATATGTGTATTAAATTCACTTACATAGTATCGCAGATTAATGGACCAACGTCCTGTAGCCTTTGTACCTAATGCAAGGCACCAAATAGAAATGCCAAATTTCCAATCGGGCTGTACAAACTCTCGAAGGCGCGTTCCTTTTACATGACTTACGGTAGTTAATTGGGAAATAGTGATACTATTGGCATTTTTAAGCGATTTCTTTCAAACCCACAAAGTCTCAAGGCAATGACGCTTTCGCGTTTTCGACTGCCTCAAATCGGTTCCGAGATAAAAAAGAAGAACGTTTTTTCTACGGAAGATGCAACGTTATTCTAGCCTACGTCAAACGTATTCAAATGAATATATAAACCCCCATTCAGCACACAACACATTTCAGCAGTCCATGATGAATTTAATGAGGAGTGTAAGTGTTATGTTTAACCTGTTACCTAACCGGACAGCATTAGCTCACTTCTACGAAACAATTTTTTTAGTTCGTATAAAAGTAGTCCGCGCTCCCCTACGCTAGGATGTATAAAAATCAGTGCTCTACAATAAAGCAAATCGGCGTCATCCATACATAAAAGAAATATTAGTTTTAATAAGGTTTCTCAACTTAAAACAATTAGTTAACCTGAAATTTTGGGTGGAGTTACAAAATCCATTGTATTCTCTGCATTAGAACCTACGTTGGAATAGATGTTACGGAATACGCAGAAAAGGTCTTTGTCTAAATATGTATGGTAATAATAAGATTCTTTTTCCGCCACTTTGTTTTTCCAAAATACACTTACTCTTATACCATCCCGTCGCTTCCGAGCTTGTCGTTATGCAACAAGACTTATTTGCGCGTGCACTGAATGCGTGTTGGTGATCAGAAATCAAAGCAAGGTTTTGCAAACCAAATCAGATATATCAGTGTTCTGCTATGTCGGTGTGAAAATCCGAAGCTGATACATCGTCAAACACAATAAGTAACGGAGGAAACAATTACGTTTGGCCAACGCCGGAATGAAGGATTTTCTTGTTGTAAAAGAAAAATAGCTCATCTACGACTGCAGTTTCCTAAAGAAGAACTTCAGTTTCAATAAAAAGCATATAGGGTTCCATAAAGATCGGGAATCTCGTTCTCACGCCTACTTTCTACGTCCTTACATTTTTTTTCATACAATAACTATTTTCATGAGTCATTACCTTCAATTAAATTTTCTAAATTTTGTATTTTGCAGGGTGCCCTAAATTGAGCGCTAAAGAATTGAATTGGAAGTTTAAAGTTCCTGCATTACTTACTGCTTGATTACTGCAGGCCAATTGATGTTGCTTACATGCGTACATACATGAGATAGATTCCAGACTCTAGTTTATTTCCATATGATTATAAGAAGCAACTAACGTACTTTTGCGCCAGTCCAAATAATTATTAATATAAGATAAACAACGCATAAGTGGGCACTAACAAAATTGTTCAGGACGTTTTATTTTTTTCAGAAGGTTAAGTACAGTCGCTTCCTAGCTTTTTGGCTAAGATGAAAAAAAATGCAGGACCTGCGGAGATTGGCTCAGTGGGTGCTTTCCAATAAATAAGAACATTGCCTTGCTCACATACAATCCATTCTATTTTGAGACTTTTCCAATTTTGTCGTCTCGCGAGATGTCGAATAATTGAATCCTCCTTCTAGTCAAAAGCGAGCAGTTATTTCCTGTTATACGATTATCAAGAAGCTACGCCGACGTTGTTGATGGTGGACAATACAGTTCAGTGCATAAGAGCTGCGCTATAACATAGTGAAAATTTCTCTTTTATACTTTGTCTGTCTACCAATTGTAAACCTATGGCATTGGCATCAATTTGACTTGACAGCGTAACTATATGATGCAATAGAAGATCTTTTGTCATTTGCAGCTACCTGCTGGTGCGTGGGTAAACTTACCCAAATGGCCATGTTTTAAAGTTGTATAACATTCTATAGAAGGAGGATAACGTAGAATATTTATTGTAACTAAAATTGTAGCAATGATCCCACCTAAACAACTACATCCCTTACGTTTCACTGCAATTATAAGATGGAGATTTATCTAACTATAGCTACTGATCCAATCACAGCAGGTTCACCCGAGACAAAATAATAAAAATCAAATAAAGTTGTACCGTTTCTTTTCTTGTATTAGCGGCCGTTGCGTCGAAAGCTAAGGTCTATCGCAGCAGTCTTCAGCTTGTTTGCCGGTACCGAGGGCGTCAATGCGGATTTAGCCAAGCGGAATGTTAGCAATGATTTTAGATCATCGCTTTCCATCTCACCTGCAGTGGTATTTCCTCCTGTCATCGAAACCAGCGTGGTCGCTGCGAACACCACTAATGAGTAAATTAGCCAAAGCTTATTTTTTCCGACAAATCTAAATTCGATGATTTTCTCCTGTAACTAAATAATTAACAATTAAATGTAATGCTATATCGCATCGCCGCGTTGAAGTTCTGTGAACATCGTTGCGCCTTACTCCAACATAAAGGTCGACCCGGAACAGGTGAAATTGCTTGATCAGTCATTTAGTTTTCTGATTGTGCATTATCGATACTAGGCAAAGCCAAGTTCTCATAATAATGCGATCAGCTAGCAACACCGGATTGCAGCATAACCCGAAGGAAAAATCCTTCACCACATCATGGCCTCTGATCTAATCCGTGACTTTCCTTTAATTAAATTCAGTGCCACTGACAGAAAGACTGTAGGCAAATTTACTAATTTAAGTTTGTTTCCTATGAAGTTTTTATGGATTCCACATGAACTGAAAGAATTGAACCTCTATAATACTTGGTCGACTTTAAATTATCAAAGTAAGATACCAGAACGCTGAAATAATTAAGCGGTAACCAGGTGCTCCAAGGGTAGAATAAGGCAACCTCATATGCTGTCACGTAGTCACATACTTTCCTAAATGATGCCCGTAGAAACTGAAGAGAGAAAACTGGAACACTTTTTTCTTTTTTTTTTACAAATATAAACTTTTAACGATATAACAGTATATCGCTGGCTCATGATTTAGTTAGATGAATGCCTTGTCTCTTGAGTCGTATCACCCTTTAACTAAGTGACTTTAAATTTCGCAAAAATACTATGCAGACTAGAGTTATTGGAAGGCCCGTGTTCACGTCACCTTTCCTATACGCGCTTTGTTAACGATTGTTATTACTATGGCTAGAGTGACGCCACCCATCTGGTCCTGTTCCTGAAAGTCCTATTAATAAAAGATCCTGGAGCACTAGCATCGCTAATGTTAACGATATATATATATATATATATATATATATATATGTGTGTGTGTGTCCATTGTGTTGAAATATTTTATTGATGTGAAAAAACTAAGTTTTTTTTTATAGAACTACCGTTTAGTTTAAGTTAACCGTAAGTAGGCTACTGCGCTCTAAAATACTAAGCGAGCCCATCCTGATAGCTACGTTCGGTTTTGATGAATGGAAAGTGTCAAATTATAGCCGACAGACTATAATTTATAAAAATATATTAAAAAAAACTTTGCCTAATGTTTACTTTTTTTTAGGACTAAACTTCACCGGTATGCAGGTAGATTTATGTGCTTCTGTAACAACAGTACAAATTGCTGAAGTATTAATATAATTGGGTTGTTGCTTTTTAAATAACCAATATAAATAATTAAAATTTGGACAAGATGTTATACCTTTTCCTTTATGGTAAACATATGATCTGGAAGCAGAATTTTTAAGATTGTCTCTACTGGGTAACACGCTAGTACTAATGTGCAATACATTTACATTGTATAACGTAAATGTACTGGAAAACATCAACGAGTAGAAGTCATAAGAGATTCACCGATTGAGAAAACCGCCTATAAAATTAATCATTATATATCTATTATTTATATATCGTCTTTATTCATTTATATATTTGCTTTGTACAGGCCTATATACTGATCCCAAAATGCACCGGGATACATTCGTTAGTCGATATGCACTTCGTCTCCTGCGCTTTCTTTCCTGATATCTTCGTCACACGTATATACTTCTATATATACTCGTAATAAATTGTGTTTACACAGTGCTTAGAATAACCTCCATGACCCTTGTTTCTTTTCCCGTCCTGCGAAGCTTCCAGACTTGCACAGAGAACTTTTCGTATCTCGGTAACCCATGACAAATGAAAGAATATCGCTTCTTGTTCACCTCGCTTTTGGCAAATCACAAAATAGGAATGTCATTGCTATTTGCTCCTTACCACACATACACAAAAATTGCACAGGCACACACGCACATACATCACTCAATAATAATACAGTAGGACATCCTAGGTCACATATTAATTAGCTTTGTTTTCCTGTACAAATAGCCACACTTGAAAGTAGCAGAAGTAGTCCTACTAGACAAACAGATAATAGTCTAAATTTTCGCATTCTACAGTACTTTTGTGATAACGGTATTACGTTGCCCGCAGCCACAATAATAAGTTATTACCACCGTTCTGATTATTTTCCATAACCACACTATATTGTATATTATATTACTGCTATAAGACAATAGAGAAGTTGAAGAATACGCTGCCAGCGTATTTTTCAACTATAACAATAATGACTCACAAACAGAAAACGAAAATGAACAGTTTCGTTTTAACTACTGCATCTTCGCTTTGTCTACGATATACATGACTCATGACCCAGCTAGAGACAACAAATAGCCCTTAAGACTATAGACGTTCAGTTTGTATCCTATTCGGCTACTAGTGGCTTGTGCGTCTTAGAAAATAGATGTTTTTAATCAAAACATAACTTTAACATTGCCGAGTTGTGTTTATAAACTTCTTCTGTCTATCTCGACAGATGCAGGCTTTGAACATAAAGTGTACGCCATATCCAGGCCTGTAAATTAGCGCGGTCACGACTATTCACAAACGTTTTCAGGTTATGAAATATACATTTCTACAACAGCATCTATTTATTGACGCTGCTGCCTTCAGCCACCAAGCCAACTCCCTTGAACTATTTTCTGTCGCTATTAGAGTGGTTGATACGATGATGAATCTGATGGTTAACACTAGCAATAATTTAATTATATATATATATATATATATATATATATCGGGACTGAGTTGAATATTTTAGGAAACGGCGAAGGTCAGCGGTGCAGATCAGATCAGTATGAACTGCTCGCTTGAGCAGCCTCATGTTGCGCTGCTCTGACCAGTCGCTGCATTCGTTCGAGCTGGGCCGCGACGTTGCTCACGAAACTTTCGCTAACTACTGAAGCTTGACTTTCCTCCTCTCCGCCGCACTCGAGTTCCGTCCCGGCGTCATCTTGCGTCGAGAGAGTCTGTGCGTCCTCAACCTGATTCGCCATGTTAAGTGCCTTCACTGCTCGCTTTAGATGGCCCTTGGCATGCTTATTGAGGCTTTGTCTTGATGCCGTGCGATAGCTGCACAACGTGCACGCAAACGGCTTCTCACCGCTATGACTCCGATAGTGCTCGCGCAGCCGGTCACGCCGAGCTGTCACGTAGCCACACTCGTTACAAGTGTACGTTTTGTTTGGTTTTTCGTGTATGTTTTTGATGTGGCGTTTCAGGGCGCCTTTGATGCCAAACTGCATTCCGCATATCTCACAGTGAAAATCCTTCGACTTGATGTGAACTAGCCGAATGTGATCGCGCAAGTGGCCGCGTTGTGTGCCCCGGTAATCACAAAGGTGGCACGCAAACGGCTTCTCGCCCGAATGCGTCAGCTTGTGTATGCGAAGACATTTTGGTGAGTCAGTTTTATAGTCACATTGATCACATTCGCAAAATTTGATTCCTTTGTGCCGCATCACGTGTCGTTCAAACAGCGGAGCGTCTCGCGTTCGATAGGTACAGCCTTCTTCGGGACATACAAGCACCTTGTTAAGTTCAGGATGAGCATTTCGTGAATGGCGCCGAGCTAGATCAGCTCGTCGGAAGGTTTTTGGACAAAACTGACATTTAACTAGGGTGCCTTCTGGACATGTGTGCGCCTTCATTTCACTAATGTCGGACGTTGTGAAGCCGCACTGACATGACGTCGGCGCTATCTCGCCAATAGGAACAACACCTTCTTGCAGGATACATTCCGGCGAGAAATCCATTCCTGGTCCTTCCCCATCGTCCTCATCGCCGCCGTCGTCGTCGTCTTCATGGTCCACAGCGTCGACATTGTCAACGTCTCCAGCTGGCCCGTCACTTTGTTCACTCCGTCGGTCATCAGTTTCGTCCTTTGGTCCTCCTTCTGTCGTAGAAGTCGATGCCTGGCTGGCGTCCTCTCCTGTTTCTTTGGCGGTACTGCCCGAAACGATTGTCAATGATGGACCCTGGAATAGGTCTGCACGTGACCTCCCTATACTAACAGTACGCTCACCGCTGGATTGTGATACTGCGGGCTGAAGTTCGGCTTCGATTTCAGGCTTGAGTCGAAACCGCTCGTTTCGGTGATTTCGATGCCTGATAGGCTTACCGCCATTCTGAACAATTTGCCTTTCAATGGTGACAGCTAAATCAAGCATGCGAACAGCAGATGTCTGCCGACCGTTGTTTGTCCATCGAGGATTCGATGGTGTAGGAAGGATTTCTGCAGGCTCCACAAGTGGGAGCATTTTGGCTGCTAACAGTTCACGGGTAGTCGGTGTTGGAGGACCACTGTCGAACAATACCGGCGACATTGTGTCCGGCAGTTGTGCTAATGCAAGTGGCATCGGAATATTTTCAAGAGGGTTCGGGTTCAGATTTTTATAAAGCCCAACATCAACCGGAGTCATGCTCTCGTGCCTTTCTGTCTGTTCTTCCTTGATCGTCAGTGTTTCGTTCGACATCTTAATTTTAATACCGTTTTACAATTATCTAAACCACCAACCCCAGCGGATTCATCTGACCCGTTTATGTGGGGTGTGTAAACTGTCCTGCTGTTATCCTCTCGAACTGGACGGCCCACTCATGTTGGCGAAGTGAAGTCGTCAGACGAAATGTGGTTGCATGGTTTGTTGAGCGTCGAATTATCTCATGTACGCACAATACCACAAGTACACGATTCTTAACTAATGGCCATAGAATACACGAGTTTTAAATCAGCATTTTACCGACGAGAACCCTGCAAAGTGACAAAGACCACAAAAGTTAAAAGGCATGTCATTAGCCAAATACAGCCGTTTAGGTAGGAATTACGCATACATGACATAGAGTCTTCAGAATTTCATTGGAACTACTCTATCCAATGTCCTTCAACAAATTGAATCAAAAAAATTTGAGCTAAAAGGTGTCAGCTGAAACGAAATGTACCTTAGTACATCAGAAACTGCTGTAAGTCTACACTTGATTGCACAAGGCGTCCTTAATAAGAAAAAAAAATACGTCCTGTTAGTCAATTGTGTACCCGTTCTAAAAATTTCTATACATAGAGTGCGAGAAGTTGTGAGATTCGTTTAGGGATTGCAAGGAATATCTCCATGATCAATATTAAACTTGTTTATGCAAACTCTATTATGACTAAAAGTCCGCTGGAAAAAACTATTGCTTATTATCCTAAACTATTTTGCCTCTAAATATACACTATACGTTGGCGTTTTATTTTTTTAAGAAAATCTACTTCCGAATTGTTTTTTCGGTCCCTTGACTCAGAAGAATATCGATATGAGCTACGATACTCTCTCTCATTTTGTCTTTATGGCCTTAATAAAGAGGAACTCAGTAATAAGAGTTGAATTCTCTTTAAAAGTAAACATTTTCTATAATTTTCTCAGATATGTAGCTCTCTGCATAAGTGCTAGAAATTCCTGAAGCAACTGACGCTGAGACATCTCCAACACTGATTTTTTAGCTGTTCTATGAACGAACTGTACTAATACTATATAAGTGCAGTGGCATACTCAGCTAAGGAACGCACTTTTCCGTGAAGATCATATAACGATAATATCGATGCCTATCAATTTAGCTAATTAACATCGTATCTTGGTTACCACCACAAAACCTTTTGATGGCAGGCTGCTGATGGCTCAAGTAATTAAATTACGTTAGTATGAGCCGTAGCATGTAGCTTAAAAATATATGCTTATACTTCACTTCGATCGAGTCCTGCTGGATTATGTAGGGCAGTTTGTTGAAGATAACAGACGCACTACCCACGTGAAGATGTCGTTCGTAAGAAGATAATCACCCATCACTCTACTCTGTCACTGTCTAATTGCCAGTACTGCTGGAAGAATAGGACATTCGCAGAAAGCTTGCTTGCCATGAGCATCTATGCTTTGAATCTACAGTGACTAAAGAAGTGCGAAAGTAAATACGCTGCTTAAAAAAAATGTAGGAATATTATTTCTCTTTGGATGATGAAAACCTGGGTCACTTGCCAGTTATAGTCATTCAGGCGGGTAGTATCAATCAATATGACGACGTTGTCATTAAACGATACATTCAATTGACAATAGTTGTCGACAGACGATTTTTGTATCTGCATAATTGCAATCAGTAGGAGAAATAGCTAATAACAATCCATACAAGCCAAGCCGATTGTACGCAGCTCCCGACGTTGAACAAATCCTTGCCTTCGTGATGCCCCAACGGTTCATTTTGCAGCAGCGGTGGTAACGACCGAAAAAGTCTAGTTGTTCCAGTAGACACGGTGTGTATAACACTGCTTCCATTGAGAACAACGTTGATTTCACAGTAAAACAGCGAACGTACAACGAAGGTCTGCGCCCCAACAACAGAGTAGCTAGAGATGCTTTAAGGAAGCCGCCGTTGAATTGTTCCCATTGCAGAATCGTAAAAGAAATGGCAGACGATCTATAAAATGTGTGATGATGACGAATCGTCTCCGATTCAATGCAAGCCGGCGACAATAGCCGGGGAAAGATTTAACATGTTTTTCAGGAATGGTATCAAAAGACGCTACTTTTTTCGTCGACTCTCCGGTGTGCTATAACAAATATTCTAATACTGCCTGTTTTTATTTTTCCCCTGGTAGATGATGACCCCTTGCTAGCGTAGTCAGCGGAAGCGAGTTCAGTTTGCAACAACTTCCGCCGACGTATGTACAGTTCTGACGTCACCATAGCAGATTAAGTTCAGTGCACTAAAATCAATATTCTAAAAATTCGGATTATTGGTTGAAACATAACCCTTCCAAGCAAAATAGAATAGATAAATGCCGAAGAAAACTGTAAAGAAGCCGACTTACATACAGAAAGAACGACGCGTAATACCGAACGTTGTATTTGCACCAGTACTGTAGAGGGCAAATGAAGCCTCAACCTCAGCCTCAGCCTCCAAGAACAAGTCAATGTATACTTCTCTATATCATTGCTAATAGTAATGATCAAAGAAAGCTTGTTAAACGACCTGCCTAAATTTATCTAAGCTGAATTTTTGTGGGTTCGATAGAAAATTCCAGATGTAACTATAAGACGATTTGGAAGTCTGACAGATAGTCCCTGCAGCTACTTCTGAGTAAACTCAGATGAGACGAGTTAGACAGCAGCATAACATGTTCCCTTAACATCCATGGAACAATTTTCAAATCATATAACTCTACAGAATCTATTTTGCTCTAAAATTGTAACTCAACGAGAAGGTCTGACGCGCATATAGATTTAAATGACCCCAACAACATCTTGCTAGGCAGGTGTTAAACACAACTAGAGGTAGAGTTTGCTTTTAACCACAATTATTGCTTACTTTAATCAGTTTATATTGAGGAAAAGATCTATGAATGTACATATCTAGTGAATGTTATTTAATAATAATTGTTAATTGTCATCAGATCGTAGACGGAAAATAGCAAAGCACAGTCATACAAATCTTAAGCCTACGGTTTATTTTTGTGCTTCACCATTGTTGCCACAAGTGGGCAATATCGGCCGCAACCTACCGTCCCAATTTTTCTGAGTGGCTTTTCCTTTTATGCCTGCAGAAGTAACGGCGACTCATAGTAAATCATCCTTGCGACAAAATGATTCGGCTGAATACAAAAGGTAAGGAAACGTACGTTTCTAACTATTGTGTTTATTTATAGCAATTAATTTGAAACAAAAGTTCCCTAATATGAATCATCGTCAAAAGAAATAGAGATTCACGGACATATAATCAGGATAACGATCTTGACAATGGTGTCGATAGTGGAATCAATACGAACACATTTGCAACAACTGAAGTGGTCTCATCACAAGCTAATTCTCCATAGCCCTCCCTTAATGTTAAACGTGACGTCTCCGTTTTGACCGTGCAAAATATCTTTCTCTAACGCTCCCTCTAGAGGTAGCTGTACATATTCATGTTTACCTCTCCCAGAGGTAAACATGTACGGCCCACAATAAGTTTAGACCAGGTGTAGAGGAAACAAGCACATTTGCTCAAAACCCAGCGAACTATCAGCGTCGAAAGTAATTTTTTCGCTTGTTCCCTTTATAAGTCGGTTGTATATGATTAGAAATAGCTTCGGAAGGTCTGCCAAAATACATCGCCTTTTTTCGAATCACAAACGCCTTGTAATAAGACATATGTGATAGTCTAGCGGTAACTCTGCTACTTTGATAATAATTTCTCTAAAGACAAGTTTCTATAAGAATTTCATATATATATATTTCTATAAGGATTTTAAAAAGTCAATACACCACACTTCATATATATTCTAGAAGAGTGATAAAGCGTGATGCATTTTATTCATCGATACATAGCCTAGTTATTTTATTATTATTATTATATTATGCCTAGGTCATATGGCACGCAGTGCGTTATCATAGATTTTGCGTCAGGACTATTTTTAATGGAGCAATTTACCTTGGCTGAACGTGATCGCACTATACTGATTTACAGTTGTTTTAAGTCTCGACATATCTCAGTAGATCAGTTCCTTATTTATTACATACAACATCAATTCTTCCTCAGTCCTTATCCAAAACAATAATTTTCCCTTGGCTGTCTAAAATCTTTCAGGAACTTCGGCTCTCGAATCTCTTGTGACACTACTACGAAAACTGTGAGGTGTGTGCGCTTGACCTCATAAACACGCACCCTCAAATATAGCTGAAATATCGGTAACGTGTTCCATCTCATAGGGCAGAAACATCCTCATGTCTCAGCTTCGTCCCACTACGAACACACTTCTTGACAGAAAAAGCTCTAAAAAGATCTTTTGAGCAAATGCCCAGACTTAAACACATATGTAAAAATAAAACTTAAACATGGGTAAAAATGGTCTAGTTACTGACTTAACCATCACTAGGATTTGGCCGTCATTTGACAGAACCCAATGGTGAAGACGAGCCAAGGACGCCTGTCCGATTGGCTCCAGCACCTACCGACCACGTGAAGCACAAACACCCGCATGCCCACTACGCATGTGAACCGTAGACAGTGCTAATAAATGATTTTTCTTTTTCTAATGGTGATAAGATTTTACAAACCTGCACCTGTATACGCCTGTCTCGATATAAACAAATTAAGTCAAAAAGGCACCTGACATTGATTAGGTTGGCATTGAAGTCAACACAAGCAGAGTTACCGCGAAGATGTCCCCGATCAGCTTTTTGTCCTGAATGCGTTGCCCTTTTGTACCGCCTTTTATAACGCACACCTTGCCTCTCGGCCATTTCCAGGCAGATGTTAAGCAGTTCTACGAGCGATCTCCGTGCCTTTTGTGCGCCCAGTAAGCGTCTAAAGCGGCCCCAAACTGTGGACAACTTATACAGTCAAAGTAAGTTTGGTGTTTAAAAATACGCTGACTCCTGTGGTTTCAAACTGTTCTAAGGTTCGTTGTCTCACATGCCAAAAAGCAGTCCAGATGTTACCCTCGATATCTCCGCATAGGTGAAATGACAAATGACTACGTCAGTTATGACATTTATAAAAAGTAATCGCATCGTCATCATTGTAGGTTCCTGCTGGTATTTTTTTGGTTTATTTCACCGCATTTAATTTTCGCATAGGTGGGCGCAGGTGCCCAAAGGCACACAAATAACCGATTCTGGCCAGCCAATGCTAAATACTATTTGTTTTCAGTTAAAAAAAAGAATGCGAACGGCTTTGCATCTTTACGTATCGACCTATTATAAAGTGCAGTAAAGAGGTGTACTCGTCATACACAGGAGAAGATATAATATTCTTCCTTGTCCGCCTCCAGCAAAGATTAGTTGTATATCACCATACTATCAAATGGACAAATCGCACTAATGCTACACCAAGTTATAACTATAAACAACTCAATCATAAAAAGATATCGTTAAGCTAGCTCCATAGGTAAACAACATGCATTCTTTATATTGGATGTATTTTGTATTGCACGAACAAGTTACCGAAAGGCAACAGGTTACTTGCGTAGCACTCGTAACGATATTTCTATATCGGTAGTTTAGCAGTGCTGTTACGCAACATGTTCCTCCGAGGAACAACGGGGCTATACATATTATAACCATCTCCTTCTAGCTAACAAACCCTCCGCTGGGAATCGAGGACTTCCAATCGTTCGGACCTCCGGTGGACTTGACGCGTCTGGCCTAAACACGATGCTAGTCAGCAGTCCTCAGCCCTCCTTCTTTGTCTCGTTCTTATTGGCGATATGTGGAGATGTTAACCGTTGTGTTGACGGTATGCTCTGTACAGGAGCAGATCTCGCTAGCTAACCAGGAGCGAGCGAGGACGCTACCTATAGCCAAAGTGCGGTACGAGAGAAGCAGAGCGCCGATCGTAGCTATTTGGCTTTAATAATAAAGTCCCGAACTGCAAAGCAACAAAACCTTAGATCTGCGCCATCAAGATATATACTGCAATACAGGCAACGACCGTGACTGGTAATAATGGAACGATTAATCTACGGTGCTACTCGATATACCTCTCTTCCGCATGGTGATAGTAGTGGATTTTATTTCATCCCCCCTGCAGGTAAGCACTATTCCGAGCATTCCCATTCGCAACGTTCGACCTAACCGCCACCGCAGGAACTTGATTTTAGAGAGGCTAACTGTACGAAGACGAGCGAATGAAGGCGTCAACCCACAGCGTTAATAGTAAATAAACAAAAAAAAATCACCATGCTTTTGATTAAGAGACAAATCTTGACAGTACCATTGATTACTATTAGACCCCTCAAACGTACCTCGACTTCGTTGTCCTTTTCGTCTTCTCCAAGCTAGACATCGAAACAGTGACTAGTTATGACAGTAATCGATGTTCGAATTAATATTATAATAATTGTTAATGTTGGCTTTGCCGCTTTTATTTTGCAATTCTACTGGCCGCACCTTTCGCAGTAATTTTAGCGGGGGTAACCGAAGCACGGGACGGCTTGCTCACACGCGCATACGTACACTGACTATAGGCAGACCTATTTTATTCTATACGATTTTCTACACTGCTGTTCAGCACGGTTAATTTATTCACGCTAGTGGAACGGCAATCAGCGTCAACACTGCGATGGACACAAATGCACAGACGGGCCGCACACAAACGCTGGGAGCGCACATTTTAGGCGACAGTTACCAGCTAGCGACTCCCACTCCCTCCTTCTAGTTAACAGTAGTAACAGCTTGCGCTAGCGGTGAGTGCGGTCGCCATGCCAGTTGATTAACGGCAGTGGCGATCGTAAAAATCTAAACATTTATAGTTGATTACGATTACGGCCATCAGAACTCGCTTGAGGCTGCTAACGCTACTCTCGTTGTTGTCGTCGTCGTCCGGACGACGTCGTTATTGTCCTCGTTGTCGTCGTCGTCGTCGTCGTCGTTGACGGCGGCGGCGCCTGCTGGCGCTTGCTCAGCGGCAATGGCGTTGTCGTTCTTGTTGCTGCCGTAGCCGCCGCGGATGACCACTACGGTTTTCCCACAGTTGACATCGGGACCCGATCGGGGCTGACTTATGATCAGCTTTTTTTTGCTGAAGTGTCTGTAGCAATAGTATGCCAGTTGAACTAATATTATGTACTTGCTGCGCATATGAGTGTGGCCCCGTGGTCCCTTGAAATTCTGTTGCTGTTATTACTACTGTCCACTTTCGTCATTTCTGCCAACAGCACAACTATAGCCGCCGGCATACTGTGATAGCTGCCCTGGCCGTCGTCGTAGGTAATCGTATGGCAAATACGAAGGCCGCTGCACTGTCGACGGAGAAAGAAGTGTTACGGAAAAGTTAGCCTTCACTTGTTCGGTATGTTGCAACTGCTGTTAACTACAGTTAGAGTCCGTACAACAATAACACACTATAATAGGTCAGCGCTCGGAGAGTGTTGTCGAAATTTTACTGTGGCTGTTTCTGCAATGGTCTGTCTGTTGTTGGGTAACAGCAGCAGCAGCAGCTGCAGTAGAGGCAGTGAGAGTGGCGGCGGCGGCGGCGGCGGCAGCGGCGGCGGCGGCGGCAGCAGCAGCAGCAGCGATCTTGTATCTGCTGTTATTGTCAGTTGTCTACTGTTCTGTCGTTGATTTGTTCGTTCGTTCCCTGCTTCGTTACCAGTCAGTCGTTTCCTGCCTCCTGCCTACGACTGCGAGCACCGGTAGGAGCAGCGGCAACGCCATCACCGCCGCTACTAATGCCGCTGTCCGTCCGTCCATCCGTTTGCTTGCCTACGAACCAACCAACCAGTCAGTTACTCAGCCAAGGGTCTCTCAGCGCCGGCTGTCTGTGAAAGCGGCGGTGGCGGCGGTGATGGCGGTGGAGGGGAGAGGGGGGCTACTGGGATCGAACCTGCGCCGTGCGGGCTGGGCTCGCCGCGCCAGCACACAGACAAACGCAGCCAGCGCACCCGCGCAGTGTAGAGCCTCTCAACCACCGAGCTACAGCAGCCAGCTAGAGCTGCCATTTTGATAGGATAACAACGACCGCTGCGTCGGCTGGGCGGCAGCAGCAGCGCCCACAGCGCTCCCAATGTTACACCAGAACATAACGCGCCTCTGCCGGAGAGACGACAGCGCCGCTAGCGGCTCGACCGTACACTAAGCGTGGCCAGCACAAAAAGACCGCTATACACGACTGACACAAAGAAAGGCGTACACTATCCTGCTGCAGCTGACAACGGCGACGACGGTGGCGACGGCACAACAATGACGAAGACGACGAGTGGAGTTGCCTCAATGCTCTGAAATCGGGATGAACGACGGGCACTTCTCACAACAAGAGCCCAGCCGGGACTGCTGTCATAGTTACGGCTAAAACTAAGCAACAAACACTGAACATCGCTAATGAGTGGCAGCTAGCAGCTTGTACGAAGCTGGTTGTACGAAGGCAACAAACAATAGATAGATAGTCACAATTACTCGTATGTATCCGGACGGCAAAACCAACGGTGATAAACGAGCCTAGTACTTCAACAATGCTCGCCTTTTAACAAGACAGCGGCAACAAGCGTTACTAGACGTACTCAGACGGGCGTGTCTCTGCCTACATAGCAGTAAATAGATCGTTCGACTCCCGATGAGCGACGTCTACCGCCTTCATAGCAGTCATAAAATATGGCTTTTAAGGAAAGATCTTGTGCAGAAAAAAAGGAGGGAGTGAAAATGCACGTCAATATTTAAGCTAGTAAGCATCGCAACACTTGGGAAAAAGCCAAGGCTAAGTAGAACCCAGAAAAAGCATAAGAATTTAAAAAAAACAAAAAAGGTAAACATCAGAATACATAAAAATGCTTCATGTATAAAAGGCAAAACACCCACAAGGAACATAATAGGAAGACGAGTATTCAGTATCGAGAATGAAGAATAAAGGCTCGTCTTTTCCATCCACATATCCTTAGTCTCACAGCACGAACTGTGCTTCGCAACTGAATGAACACGATCCGGAAGAGCACCCAAAACTAATTCAATGGAGTGATAGTTACAGCTAGCGTTATGGTTAGTTCATGCGGCCCGTGTGCCCACGGCGCCATCAAGTGTCTGTACGAGTCAAATCAAGTACATCTTTACGAGGCAACAACGACATATTTCCTCCAATGCTAGAGCAGAAGACACCAGAATGCATAAGATTAAAAAATGTATACACTTGGCATTTCCTTTAGACACAACGGTTCTACAGGAAAATGTATCGCTTAGTAAATTTATAGCAGCTTCTACCAGATTAAGATCATTTGAGAACTTTGAAACTGTACTATTATGAACTGAAGTTTGGATGTTCGCCCGTTCAAAGCTCTGACGACGCAGAAAAACACTATTGTCAATTTGCGAGATTGTGCGAATCCGTAAATTTAATCCCAGATAAATAAAGGCTCTACTGGACAGCAGGCCGAGCTGCATTCACAACAATCTAACAATCCTAATTCTGTGCATATCGCGATATGCATGTTATAAAAGAAACACTTATTGAATCCACCTGTGACATTCTATAGAAACCACACCCTACAGATTCGCATATATGCTTAGCCACCCTTAATGGCTGCAAAACCTAAACAACAAAACTTTTTGAGTTTCCACTTTGAAATTTTCGTACCATACGGGGAAGTATCGTACCATAAAATGCCTTTTTTTGCACAAAAGAATCACTTTTCAATGTCTTTTTTTCAGTGCTCTTCCGGTCAATCGAAAACCGGAATGATTATGAAAGTTTTCTTGACAACATGCATGAAAACCTAACTATAACCAGCAGACGTGTTTATTGTGCACATGTACCTGAAGAACTCAATGAGATCCTGCATAAAATTTAAATAGGAAATTTGTTCAAATTAAGGAAAACTTTGTTAGGCATAATGTGAGAGTGTATAACTACTACTCTGTCAATGAACGCCCATTACTTACATTAACATATATGTGACCTAACATAACACACAAATAATCTATTATTAATAAGTACATAATGGCATGTGTAATCAAGATGGGGTTTATTTTATTCGACATATACATGAATATTATGTATATATATGTATATATATATATATCTCAATAGTAAATCCACCAAACATTTTTCTTATTCTTTCCTCTTTCTCTTTTCCAGATCGTCGACTCATCGGGCTCGGTTCTATACTGTCATTACATACATCGAATACGCTGCTCGTACAGTGATGTACGTTGCCTTCTGTACAAGATATTCGAGCTGATTTGTACAACAGCAGATCTCTCGTCAATCGGAATTTAAGGTAAACAGCTCACTTGGGTCAACGCACTCACATTGTTCATCTACTGTTATGTTGATCAATTATTATTGTGAATGAATATAATCATTAATGCCCAAGATGACGAATTTACAGATGTTCGAAAATCCAGAAATGAGATTTTGTGGAACTCAACACATAGTTATTAATCGATTGTTAGTGATTAACCATTCTATAGGTCTTAATCTTAATGTATATATAATGGTGATTGCACATTTTAATGGACGACTATATCGGCCTATATATATATATTGGTACATTAGTCTGTTCTCAGTGTATGCCATGTGTCACATAATTGTTTTCTGTTGGCTTTGCAAATATGAATTTGACGCTTCAAGATATTACCGAAAATCCTGCGAATTAACTGTTCACAAACAATTACGTCAATGGGTTTGATAGAATAAACGACACTCAAAGAGTAATCCGAACATACGAAACGAACGGAAGTTCATAGCTCGATCATCATACCTTGCAATGGGATCACATTCCTTTAGCTCTTTATTATATCGTGTGGATATGATAATGATCAATGGATTTGAAACCCCCTAATCAGAATAGCTGAGAACGACTCTCACGGTAGCTTATCGGTTATACTGAGTGGTAGTGATATGGGTGACTGCCGTTTTGAGAGGCTGGATAATGACGTTCAATAGTGATAGTACTTAAACAAGTTAACTGCTTCACCGTGTAAATCGTATGTTATTAGAACTTATACGAATACCCCAATTTTCCCTAACGTCATTCTCATTGAAGCGTACAATTACCGCAATGTTCAAAAGGACGAACAATAAAACGAGTGTTGTTTGCTCATCAGAATAGTCAGATCAAAGAATGAACCAACGGGTAATAATCAGACAAACCTAGTACCTTTTACGAAACTCAAATTGGCACAACAAGAAACTAAACATAATCTCCAATAACGACTCAACATACCGATTATATTGCTCAACAAAATCATTCCGCCAACGGGTTGGTGGATTGCTTCACTTACGCACAACAACTTCTGTAAAATAATGCCCTCTAAATACGGCGTTCTTCACCTAAACACATTTATTATTGGTCGCTGATTTACTCAATTTCGACATCGCATCCAAATTTCCTCCGACATTTTTGAGAAAACCAATTCTTAATTTCATGATTGCCCACGGTATCGTCTACAGCAAACTCATGCACTAAAGGTTAGTAGTAATAATTATAATGATGACGATGGTGATGAGTTTCTTGTTATCACATTTCCACTGCGATTTTTGTACAGTGTACGATGGGTACACCTAATCAACGTAAGAATATACGCAAAATGCCGTACCATTAAATACTAATCTCAGTTTGCTGTTCATCTTCTGTTTACCCGCACAAAACTGCTCCGCTGCTTTTCAAGGGAAAATCTCATTATAGAAGATTACAAAAGTACCTCTAGCAAATATACTGTCATTACTACGACTACTCAAAACTTATTTTAAGTACATATTTCTATTCCACATGTATATAGGCGTAGACGTTTGTGCCTGTATATAACGAGATACTCATAAACACACCTAATCAAATAGCTGAACATGCAGCTCTACACTCACGAAACACTGAGATACTCTAATGTATGTATATATAATTCATAATGCATAATATTAACACTGTTCAGTTATAACTCAATTCAAAAGCAATCACCAGCTATCCCGTAAATTGTTTAGGTAAAGTTACATATATATATATAGATATATACATATATATATATATGTGTGTGTGTTTGGTCGCCTATAAGTTATAGTAACGGTAGTGGAGCCGTAAGAAGGCAAAATCTGACGATGAGTGCAACGTCAGGACCGTTTTATAATTCCTGCCACGTCAGTCTATTACCGGATAAATCATTCAGTCAACTTAAAAATATTAATCCTGTTTTCTTTACGTTTTTTGCAAGAAATGTGCATTTTTTTTGACGGATAGTTACACGAATTCGTAGCTTCGCGTTTTTGCGTTCCACTCGACGAAATCGACCGGCGAACGAAGACAATACGAGAGGTTACATGGCAAGACGGTCATCCCAGTATTTATATCCACAGTCTCTAATTATTAAGAGCAAAAAATATTTTTTTTGCATGGAAGGGTTAAAATCGTTCTTCTGCTTTTAAAAAAAAATTCAGTTTCTAGGGGACCTGCAGGCATGGCTTTCTTGACAGTGCAGATCTGCAGCAACATGTAGTAGGGTAATATATTGAAAAAAATTGACACATTTTGCGGATACTTTGATCCTTCGCCATTAGTGATAGGCATATGCTGCTGTTACCGAATATATACAAGCCGAACATAACAATGCGATCGTATATCATACCATATTTCTTGAGCTCCGATACAGAACAGATAGATCATAGCAAAAAAAGTTTAGAAAACGTGTCCAAGAAAATGAATGAAAAAGGACGAATAAGCGTTGGATTAACAGACAATTATACTGTAATGTTAATGAGTCTAATAAACGAATCAAAAAGGATCCACACACGGAACTCGACGCAGAAGGTCACATATTCATTATTTCCGTCATTATAGCACTCTTCGCAAAGTGGTTTTGTAGCACAGAAATGATATTTTGAATGCAAACTAAGCTGCGAAATGTATCTGTGTCATGTTAGCATAGGTGGTACGAGTTTCAGTTCTGCAGCTAGTTAAATACTCGATGCTCGAAAAAATTTCTTTAAATGGTCATAATTATTTTTAACCCTCATTGACGGTCCGAAATGTCAAATGAGGAAAAAATTGTTTTCGTAATAGTAACTAACGAAACACAGCTGGCTAAATTTTTCTGCAGAGTTAATAGATCTCAACTGTTTGTTTCATCTATCGGTAAGTTCTCCGTCGTATCCCACTTTTAATCTGGAGCCGCACTACCCAAGTTGAAGCAAAGATATTAAAAAGTCAAACCGTTTGGATTGTTATACATTTCAAATTAAAATAGTTCCTAAAGACGCCAGTAATTTACGGTGCTTGATGGTTTGGATTTCTTTTAATTTATGAAATACTGAGATCACCTTGTATGGATAAGCACTTATGTACATTTATATCTACATCTATCAAAAATTAATGTACATAAAAAAATCAAGTCTTAAAGTTCAATTTTCCGATTATTCGTTCTTTATATCCGTCTTTCTGTATGAATGGAGCGTTCACAAAAAACCTTCGATTACACAAATAATATAGCGAATTTTCGTTATCCTAATTGTTGTGCTAGTTTCCTAAATCGACGTCTAGTTCGCTAAATGAAAGTTGTATCCACCGTCAGCCTGCTAGACCACTACAGGAAATAACGATCGTTATTTTAGCACTAGCAAGCTCTCATATTTTTCAACAATTACTACTAAAAAAACGTACCATTACACCAAACATTTGCACATATGACAAGCACATCTGTATACAACTACAAATAACGGATCGAAGAGACTTAGAAAACACTTTGTTTTTCTGCTGCTAACGATACGATTAATGTTTCTGCAATTACAATCACTCCACAGCGCCCGGGCATTGCAACACCAAAGTGATTTTATCAGATCTTATTTGCAAGCTCTCTCTCTGCTGTCTCCAATTATTTAGTTGATTTCTGCCTATTCGACCAAAACCCTGACCACTCAATCACGAGTTTGTCCAAAAACGAAATAATTGGGGTTGAAAATGACTACTTTACAGGTAATCGGTCGCTATCTTCCCTTATCTCTCTTCCCTTTGAGCCGCATCTGGAATTTATATACTTTTTATCTATATCACGCAGTCAGCCTTCACACTTGTTTAAATTCGCCATGTTTTACATGACATAATATTGGGCAGGGAAACGGGTGTACAGGAGGCGTGGGAACGTCCCTCTAGCTGGACAATTAGTCAAGTACTTACGACTTCGACGAGGCACTTCGAACATTATTATTCTATAATACAGCAATAGTATTATTAAATTGAGGTCGTACTAAGAAATTGGTGACTGATGATAGATGAAAATCGGCGCAGTCCATAATAATGATTTGCCACCATCCTGCGAGCCGGCTAATGAAAAAACGGAAGGGTAGTAATGGTGATGTTGCTCGTTTCGTTCCACTAGCACGCAGCTCCTCTGTTATTTATCTACTGGTATTATTGCTATCAACATCTGCTGCTGCTGTTACTGCCGAGAGTCTTGGTTCCCTTGTTGATGCAGACTTTGCGAGAGCGGCTTCAATTCCACCATTTGTTCCAGTTACAGCAACTGGGGCCTGCCCACCATCCTTTTTTAGTAAAAGTTCGAAACTGGTTTTCGCCTCGTCCAACGGGACACCCAATGCGGCTAGTTCAGCAGCTGTCATGGTTTCTAACTGTTCGCCCGTCAGCTTCTACAACAATATAGCCAATAGCCGTTGAACATTAGAGCTAAGTTTTCCATCGCTCTACTAGTTATATATAATGTCTACGGTGAGAAAATAAATACAATTACATGATTCAAAGACAATAAAGAGTTAAATGATAAACACTGATTACTAATAAATACGCCTTACATTATCAAGGTCACAAAGTTGAATCTTTTATACAAAAGTCTCTTACATTGGCTGTCACAGCCTGCGCCGTATTGGGGCATTGGGTTTTGAGATGGTCGGCTACGCGCTCGCAACTCCAGGATTTGAGGGGTGAAAGCGCCTCTTTTATAACTGTTACAGATGGCTCGTTCTCTTGTGTTGAAGAAGCATCTTCGACTACGTTAGCGTTTACGGTTGGAACGATTTCGTTTTCCATTGGAACCGCAATTTCTAAAGCCATTGCGTCTTCCGGTTCGTCGTCAGCGGTGGTTGGCTCATTTTTAATTTCGACAGTTCCGGAATTTGCAGAACGAGCATGAGGAAAGGACTTTCCACCTGACGTGCGTGATTCGCCTTTAAAGCCCATCCTTTTTTCTACCAAAATATAGAGAGAGAAATAGAAACGCCGATTCAGACTAGAATTGCGCTCTTTTTTTTCAAATTTCAGCTTCAGTAGGCTGAAAAAATAAGCTTAGGTAAAACTCATGCAGATCGAAATAAACACAGGCATTTAAATTTCCTGAATAGTATGTACAGATTGCTTTGTCAAGATATTTCTGTTAAAATAGTGTTGACATTTCCTAAAGATTACATTGCTTATCTTTAATTTATACTGAAATAGGTCCTTGAAGGGCTATGTTGTCTCCAATATGATACTAGCAAGACTGGACTTTGTGCATAAAATATCACTTACTCTTTTTAGCTCGTCCACCGCCGGTCGCATTTCCAGATTCTCTTTTCTTTCGTGCAGCAGCCCCACCTGGTGTTTGCAGATGCACAGGCGTTTCTAAACCGTTTCCTGTATTTGGCGGTGTCAACAAGTACTCGACCATGTCACACCACCTGAGACAAAGAACGTAATACGATGGGTTATAGATCTATATTGCACAGAGCTGTACGTTCACACAGAATAAAACTTTGGTGGGATGTTAAACCGAAAAATCTTCAATAAAGTTTCGACTTAAAGGGCTAGAAAGTTCATCAAAATTTCTCAAAAAGCTATTCTTTATTACATTCAGGTTTTTGGTACAAAATTTTTGGGCCGCTTTAGAGAGCAGAAAACAAGTTGCAATTGGGTCGTCTAGATAACCTCCAGTGGTTAGTTTTTTTTTATCTTAAACCTATCGGTTGTTTTAAGCCCTTGCTTTTTTAGAACGTTTGGCTTGCTATTAGCCCAAATTTTGACTACGTTGAATTTTTTTGCGTACAGCGTATTTGCGTGAGGCTTAGCAGGTCTACATTTACCAATATCGCTTGTCGCATTAATTAATTTCGTTGAATTGTCTGTTTTTGTTGAGATACACTTTTAGAGACAAAGCCAAAGCAAAATTTTCAATTTATGTGCGCCATCGTATACAGCTGGTACGTTTTAATACTAGAAGTGTGTTATTCCTGAAGTGATCAAGACAATGCGTTGAGTTAACAACAGGGCTGTACCGTTAGAAAAATCGAGGTTCCCATATTGCTTATTCTATAGATGAAAAATTACACATCCTTCTATTAAATTATGGGTTTCGTCTAAAAGTAAATGGTCGTTTGTGTTCTGTAATTGTTAAGTCTGCTGCTCTTCGCAGCTTACCCGATTGGGAAGATGTCTGGCGACTCGCAGTCTACCCATTGATCATAGGATTCATCCCAACCTTCGAAATGAATACGTAGAAGCCTATCAACCACTCGTGTCACTTGAGCGACACAAACTAATTTCGGGTCCATTAGGTCGACAGCTTCAACCCATTGACCGGGCTGGAATTCGTGAGCGGGAAGAACTCGCTTGAAAAGATTCATTGGCGCTGCTCGACTTTCTGTCTCGCGAAGGTACTCGTCCCAACTATAAAACAATAATAATGATAATTTACTCTCAGGTTTTCAGGTTTTTTTTTAAGATTTTAAGGTTGTAAAAGGAATTCATCCATATGTGTAATGCATGGAACCATAAAATATTATGAGCTTCGACCTGTTTTCTCTGTCTAATGAATACCGTTTGGTATGCAACTACACGCTGAAATGCACTTACTCAAATTTCTTTTTGTATCCGTGGGGGGGTTGCAGCGCTACACCAGCAGCTTTACAGAAGCCTGCTGGAAAGATGTATGGTGAAGTTGCGTGATAGCACATTAAGTCGGAGCCGTTTGGCGATGTAGCTCCGTCAACCGCAATCATAAGAAAGTGACTTCTTAGCACCTTAAATACTGTACCCACGCAAATCATCGATAGGTTGAGAGGATCGATAACTTCGAGTTTCATGCCTACTTCGAATCTTGTGGTTTCAAACTCGGCTGCAACCTTCAATCAAACAAAATCAAAAGGGAACCATGTGAATTCAGTTTGAAATACGCCGAAAAAAATCCATAAGAAGAGCTGTGTTCTAGTTTTTTTATTCAACAGCGCTATTCTGTAAAGCAAATAAACAAGCAGTGCAATATTATTGGCACCCAAAAGAATTCAGGTAATCGGCTAAAAAGGCAACACCGGATACCTATGGAATCTGGGTGGCTCATGCACATCTCCGAGTGCGTTTCCATAGTAACCATATTCACCAACAAACATGCTGCCCGCTAATTAAATCTTAGCTTGGGGAAGATTATTACCAGATAATGATCATAAAAATTACGAACGAAGGAAAAAGGAATCAAGAAGGATAAGGTATTATTAAGGTAAATAACTGCTTATGTGGCCTCTATGCTGTTTCATAAATTTGTTGGGGACACCCGGATAAGTCCAATAAGACCTACTCCTGCACGCATAATAGAAAACTATTAGAAACTATCTCGGTACAGACGTGCCAAACAAATCCTGGTGTCCCTACCTCTTCATGAACTACAATTGGTGGCAACAGGGTCCATGATGCGTCTTTCGGTCCAAACTTATTATTAAGGGCCTTGCTTAAACTGTTCTTGGCATACTCTTCAGTGGACAACAGCTCATGGCCAGTCATTCTCGCCCACCCAACAGGGTGTATCATTGGTGACTTTTCGTGGAACCAGAAACCCTCGTCGTCCTCCATACGCTCGTATTTCACAAACAAACGGCGGCCCACAATTTTCTGCACCACTGCCACCCGTAGTGAACTCAAGCGGGTCTTATCGACAGCTTCAACCCGCATTCCTATTAGAACAACATCCAGTACTTAATTAACCTACGGACTATGCGCTATCCACAAATCGGTATCAGTATTTTTTCATCTTAACACATTCAAAGATCTGACGGAATAGAATTACATCTACTAAAAAAGAGCTAAGATTAATAACTTAAAAAATGTCTGCAAACTGAGCTGTTACTATTTTAACTCATGAATAAACCAAAGTCTAATGCTGAAACGTATTGCACTTTCGATACTAAGTGCCATATATAACAATATAATAAGCAAGTTAAAGGTATAAATTATTTACACAACACGCGTCATCATCGCCGACGAAAAGGCGTGTTATAGTTAATTGAAAGAGCAGAAGAATCTCTACCATTTAGTTTACACGAGTTGTGCACACTATAATTAATAAGAAACAGGTTGTACTAACCGATCTCAAATCGACTTTTTAATTTCTCTCGTACCACCTTATGGAAATTGTGAGGTAGAGTTTTGCTACCAGTGAGGCGACGAACCATATAATCACGCCAGTTATTAGTATTATTCTCAATTGTCTTCGGTGGTACTAGAGGTCGTTCGTGTACAGCGCACCATCCAACGTGGTGGACAGAATGATCGACCAAATGCGTGTCCTCCTCTTGTACGTAACAGAGGTTTGCCCAGAAATCCATTGAGGCATCGTTCTCTGTTTCAGCAAAGAGACGGGTGGAAGAAAACAACGAAGGTGATTATATCTCTGTCAACGCAGGTACTATATAGGCATAATTGACATAAAGGGAACAATATTAAATTACTACACAACGCTAACAAGTCTTCTTTCTAAAATTAATTAATTCTATTGACCTACTCGTGAGAATTAGGAATCTATGGCATGATATGCTATGATGACATGATATGGCATGATGGCTGTTAAAATTTTCGTATCATAAAGACACTTAAGAAAGAAACCTAGACTTCTGTATATTCTTTATAGCGTTGGAACTAGGTGCGACAATAAAATTATACTACTTGGGTATAGGTATATAAAATTATACTACTTGAGTATATGTATAGAAAAATAAATTATTCAGAAGGCTGTTAAATCTAAATGGAAAAATACCATACCAAATCCGACGTATCGCAGCTTAACAAAATATCCTTTTACTTCGAGGATCGAAGCAACCCAGTAGACTACCCGCTGTATGATGTCAGATGCATCGTGATTCTGTACTTCAACCTTCATATCAACAGTTACATTACGAGCCCACCATTCTGAAAGAGGAGCAAACTTAAACGACGACACTGGCCCAGCTTTAAACTGGGGTTTGTCCAGCATCGTGCGCCAGTCAAAACTTCCTGCAACAAAAATGCAGGTCTATTAGATCGCGATTACGTTCGAACAAATGCGCATTCGTCGACGGTAGATAACTTGGAATGAAAAAGTGCTATTATGGGACGCATAAATTTTATTTGTAATACGAAAATTATAGTTCCGGTCTAGCTGCAGAAAATTGATGTTAAACCTAAACGATCGTGATGTTGTTTGCCCAGGTCTATTCAAATAGCATTAATTTCTCGCGGATTTTCGTTGGATATTTTGAACGCTTATATGAACTTATAATATCGCAACCATCATAGACAATTATTTCCACAAGTCTATGTCGTTTAAAACCTAGCGACTTGTTCAAATAAACTGTATGTTCGAAATTCCGGCTCATTCGTTTTTACAAAAAATAAAAATATCAAAAAACAAAATACAACAAAAAAAATTACAGTGAACTAAACTTGCAGTTATTGAAAACTGCCCATCCAGATCATATCTGTGAAAATTTTGAATGCAGTGGTTTGACACAAAAGCTTCAGAAACACACGGTGTATTTTCGCCTAAAAAGTAACAAAACACGGCCTCTCACTAAGTTAACATCAATGAACTACATCTATGAAGGTTTAATTTTAGTGCTCGAAAAGCCTTGTATTCTATAAATACGGTACTCATTTACCTAGCTTAAGGTCTAGGTCTATGTCTAGGAACTATGTCAGCAAACGAGACTATTCTTTGCAAAGAACAATTAATTTTCATTGGCCCTGAATTTAAATTTCAATTAAATGCAGAAACTTCATGAACCTTCTAGCTGACATTTCAAATAAAAAGACTGATAAACACTAAATCCGCGTATCTCAAGCAAAATCTTTTCGCAAACATTTCCTGATGGAGCACCTAGCTAGGGTAAGAATCTTGAAATGGTAATGTACCTTCTAGCTTCATCTTTCACTTTTTATTTGAACTCGTAACGCATATTCACTTTATACTCGTAATAAAGCAAATAAACACTTTGTCAATTAAATGGTTCTCTTTTCCATACGTTTGCTACAACTCTACATAATTATACAGTTCTCATTCATTTCTTTAAGAAAAATCGGTTTTCGAATCACGGATTCCTCTAATTGGGGTTTTGCGTATGTTAAGTACACAGGTGTAAGCGGGTAGTTTGAAATGATTTCGCATCGATACGCCTTCTTCCGCTGAATACCTTCTCTCCTTCCCTATAACCATGTCAGTTATCAGTTTTGATTGCCGTCAAAAGTACACAGACAGGGGCACTTGGCTTTTCGTTTCTAGGTTTTGATTGTTTCACAGTATCTTCTGATGGCGATCTTAGTTACAGCAGAGAAGCCAAGAAGTCTGGTATTATTACCTAGTTTTATTTCGCTTGTTTAAATCTTCATGCTCGCAAAATACGGAGCTCTCTCTTATCTTCTCTCTTCTATGATCTCTTACAATAACCTTATTGTAGAGATACATTGTAAGAGAGAGCTCCGTATTTTGCGAGCATGAAGATTTAAACAAGCGAAATAAAACTAGGTAATAATACCAGACTTCTTCTAACTATACGACCCTTTTTTTTGGTTTTGCGAGCCCATAATGCCAAGCGTGCGTACTCACGGCTTTTGTAGTGGTAAAAAAACTCCAGATCCATAAGTTGTGAGACGTTCCGAGTTGGCCAGCCATTTTGTTACGTTCTAATGATTGTGAAAAAATCTCAAACCATGATCGTAATATTTACAGTAAAGTTAATATCGAGTATAACATCAGTGGGACTCTACTTGGGTATGAACAAATTAGTGTGCTAAAAATATTTAGATTTTCACGTCCAGCACAGCCATTAAGCCTTTCGTCCGACGATGGGCTCTCAGCACGACACAATGTGTCCACGCTCGAATTCGAACCCAGATTCCCAGATGTCTTTTAAGTTTAGCGGGCAAACATCCTACCCACGAGGCAATCACTGCGATAAGTTGATATGTTAATAAAATTGAAAAAAGAAAACTGAATGGAGGAACATGTTTGGGCCGTAACCGCTAAGCGTCTAATAATGCGAATATGCGTAAGGATATGCAAAGACAAAAGATCGAAAGCGAGTATCATTATGAATAAACAACTATTTACCTGGCAAACGAACATTCTTTTTTTGCTGGATCTTTTTGGCTACAACCGATGGTCTTGAACATGAAAATGAACAATACTGCTTTTTTTTGCCGTAGAACGACACAGCCTTCCCTTGACGTCCACATCGCTCACACAGTAATTTCGGTTCAACCTGTAATTGATCGCAATTGTAATGTTCATATTAACGAAATAAATGTCTTCCTGTCAGTTACATATTCGTAGGCAGCATGATATTGTGCATTTAATAGTATAGTATTCACACTACTGCGCTACGACGAGAATTTATTCAGTTTTACCAATTTTATTAGCAACAGTGTTAGGTAGTTAGGATCTATTATAGACGGATAATGCTTGTTAATGGGCGCCTATCGCCCTAGGTTTTTAGCAGTGCTATCGTTCGATTTGGCAAAAGTACAGCAAACGCTTTGCTTTTGCTTACAACCCTTCACTGCCTTCACGGTACCATACACGAACAACATAAAACTTGAGTTCTATTAAAATTTGCTAAATAAACGTCATTTCTTTTTGCACCCTTACCATGTCCAGCTCGCGCGATTATGTCGGATACCATTTTTTTTAAATGCTTTAATGAAATATTAACGCACCAGCGCTAAAACTCCAGCACATACATTTCACCTGACTAAATGAAAAATTGCTAATGTTTCCTGCACGTCAATAACATTTTCTATAACGAATATTATCTCTCAAGAATTTTTGAAAGTATCACTTATGCATTTACTCATACAATGCCGTAAGATAAATAAAAGAGCATTCGTGCTAGACAATTCGCATTGCTGATTCGACTCTTTATATCACGCAAATATTTCAATAGAAAATCGTTAAGTGTTTTTGATACAAGATTCTATAGAGGTCGATGCTTTATGTAGTCCAATATCGTAAATACATTCTAAGCAGAACCATACTTTTCTACTATGGAAAATTATGTCTAAGCAGTAGCACAAACTATGCTCAGGTTCTACTCGGTAGTAGACACATAAGACATATCTTACTCTAAATTAGTTTTAACATGATATGATAGACTAAATACTTAAGAACGATTTGCTTCCCGCTTCACAATCACTGACGCTCTCCTCCCTCCTATACTATGCTTAACCTGTACCTGCCTTCTTATGGAGTCGTCTTAAATTGAAAAGCAAACTTTGCCATTCTCACTTGTTTCTAACAAAATTGAACCGGATATGTGGTCAAAATGATATTATCTAGTCATTTGGATCACACTAACTTGACTTTCCGAAAAATATATTCTATCTTCTGCGAATTGTTTCTCCTTCGCATTCCCTTTGCCCCCACTAGCTTTCGTAGTCGCCGCCACTCAAACGTTGTAGCAGTCGCTACTAGTGGCTCTTTCCGTCAGCTGTAGAAAATGCGCCAGGAACGGCATCACAACATTATCGCCCTTTCCGCGAACGAGCGACGGGCAGCGACTGAGTGTCTTCTTGCCTCTTTACCTTTTTTGGCAAGGTTAGCAGCGGGTGGAAAGTGAGATTGAGTTTCCTGTGATCAGTGACGGACGATGGTAAACGTGGCTTAAAGGACGGACAGTTGCTGTTGCACGTTTCATTCAGCACACTGTCACCAGCTCCACCAACTGAAGCGGGATCCCTGTTTATCCGTTCACCCCTTCGCCCGCGCGCCGTTTACGGAAACTCAACATATTCTGATTAATTCTATCATAAGCTTGATACTGCCATTAATAAGAGGAATATTATAGCTGCGACGGCAGCGATTCAGTGTTGCAAATCCATCTAAATAGCGGTGAAAGGGCTAGCTAGTGTCACACAGCTGAGCGAGCTACTCTCTCAGGTAAAGAAGGTGAAGGCTGACCACAGGAAGCTGCGCAGTTGCAGTTGCCAACCGTTGCGTGGCGCGTCAAAGATACAATTACACGCACAAATGACGGAGACATACGGAAAGTACGAGATCAAACACAATCGCAGCACACCACGACCAGGTTGACAGACACAAAGGTTCACTACCTGGCGCACGCAATCGTCGATAGCACAATCACTTACAGTCGCTAATAGTAAATACATGATGGTGACTAGATACGAATGCATTCTGCAAAAAGTCAGTTGTAACAACCTCGCCTAGTAACGCTTTAGCTGTACACTTCGATTCGTTCGCACTGATACTGCCAACGTTCTACGGAAGGCAAAGAATAAACAATTCATCTGTAGCACACTATTCGCCTGCTTGTATGTGCATGGCAAATAGTGTGCGTGTGCGTGTCATTAAATGAGTAAATAAAATAAAATAAATGTTCAATGAGTACTTGCCGAGTTTTGCGTTGTAGCGCAGCGCGAACTCAGATTGCTCCGATCGTCCATTGGTTCACCGTCACTATCTAGTACACCGTTTGTATCGACGGGGTCCATCTGCCAGGAAAAATCATCAAAGCACAGTAGCAATCATAGCGATTATATGACAAAAACATTCGATTTAGCAAGAAATCAACGAGTCGATTATGAAAAATACACGTCACAATGAGATATAAATGTACAGTAGGTCAGAAACAAACACATAAGGAAAAAAACTACTAACACTCATGTAGGCGTCAAAGACACTACGCAAATGCTTCGCGCGCCAATAATTTCGTTATACTGCCAGCTATATCAATAGATGTCAAATTACGGCATAATACAGTAAGGTTACACATCTCAAACAATTCTACCAAGGCGATATATATTTTTGAGCGGTAAATAGAGGTCAATAGAGCACGCTCGAATAGGCACACAAACCGCAATGCTTTTTCTCTAACATGGTATAAGTTATATGACCTTCAGATTTACCATGAAGCCTATATCATTCTAAACGTGAAATACTGATTATAAGCTGCCGCACAGTTTTTCTAGGTAGCAATATTTTGAGTTGCTCCATTTGCCAAGTTGAAGGTAGAAATCACTCCATGCCACGCTCTCGTATACAGTCTAATTAGAAGCGATATGCGCGTAAACACATCAATAAAGTCAAAACAATGCTGTTATAATAAACATTTCACTACTGCCTTTTTTCCAGATGGCACAACGACATCATTCTCGTGGACCACTGTCTTCACGTAGACAAAAATCTATTGATGTGTTCTATGTACCATACGGGTTGTGTGGGCTAGGTTTCTACCGTTGCCTTTATTATCACTAAACCCATATAGACTATTCTGCAATAGGTCGCAGATGGACAAATACTTAAACCTTTCGTTGCTGAATTCTCTTGGCATAGCAGAGAGTGTGCGTGTGGCAGTGTGTGCCTGTGCCATGTATGTTGTCTATATGTTTCTGTATACGTATGTGGCTGTGTGTATTTGTGCATGTGTATGTCTGTGTACAAGCGTGTGTGAGTCTATGTGTGCGAATGTGTGTAAAAAGCCATAGAAGAAGTCGCAATAATTCATGCCAACAGGCTTCAGATATACAGCGCTGAGAAATCATCATCATATTTTTTTTAACACGATGGCGGTTAATTCCTGCCTACGTTCGTTTAATCTCACAGGAGACGAAAAAAGCTAAACTTGCACACTAACAAACCATTTCAGGGACACAGACACAAACACTAAAATTCCGCCGAAAGAAATTGTACAATCGCCGGTAATATCTGCTGTGAACGCTTACGCTGGTTTCTTGGTAAGTCGAGCTAATCAGGTTGGACGCGACCTCGGCTAAAATACACTTGTCACAATTGTTGCACACTGGGTTACCACTTCCAGTAAGTGCTACGGATCGCGGTTGCCCAGTAGGGAATAGTCGAAATTCACAACAAGAAGCAGCTGCTGCGACTACTACAACTGTTTCACTACGACGACTGCTTATACTACCAATTCGTCTGCATAACTGGATGGATGGATGAAAATAGTAGAACTGACGGGATGATGGTTGTCGATATAGAGTTATCGTTGCCGGTGCTGCTTCTTGGTCCTTTGGTTGTTGGGTGATAAGCAACAAAAATGCATGAAGAGAAAGGGCCGATAAAGTCCCAGAAAGCGGCGGCCGCGGCGGCAGCAGCGTTGGGTGATCGACCATCTCCGTCAAAAGGGGGCCATGACGGAAGTGTTCATTGTTTGTAAGATGTGGCTAACGTTCCTGTAAATGCAACCGTTGGTTCGATCATGTACAGTTTTTGATGCAGAGTTTCAAACATCTCATTATCGAGGCATCGTGGAATTAACACGGCGATAGTTTAAAGGAGTTTAAAGTAATACATACGAGCGGCTTTTTCGGCAGGAAAGGCAATTTTTCAAAACACAAGAGACTGACAAGAGACAAATGGCCTGCACGTTGCGAGCTCTGTTTACTTATGCCCTTTTGATTGTTTGCTGATCCTGAAATTAGGCCCATAAGTTGATCAAGAGTTGACGAAAGAAACATTAGCAGGCTTAAGGAGCAGTCGGACATAACGAAAATGTTATTCATTTCATTTCATCATTACCATCGTCGCCCGCAGCTGTTATTGCCGCTGTGCAGTGCTGTCTCCAAAAAGTAGAACAAGTGAAAGAGAAGTAGACGGCTTTGTCTGACACATTCTATCGGCGATGTCTTGTAGAAACAGGTCTGGAGCAGATGAACGCATTGTTTGTCAGCTGCTTCCCTGTAGCCAACGGCTCCGCTGGTGAGAGGAAGTGAACTGAGAACGCACGAGCAGACACAGCACTGGACCTCAATTTATGTTTTAGGTGTCATGTCGGCTGCTGTCGCTAAGCATTGCTTCAGATGGCTAGCTCCCAGTACGAAACAGAGTGTGTCTACGCCCCGTCTCGAATCTCGATTATCACGTGGCCCCAAGCTGGGTAAGCAAACACATTGTATCAACGTGGGAACACACTGCTCAGAAGACTGGTCCAAGCTGGTGTCGTCTGCTAGTGTTTGATTGACTAGTTTGTGTTGTTTGGCTGTCGGTCGTACTTGGTTTGGCGTTTGTCTGTGCAGTGTCTGGCGGAATTGTCGTTCGATTTACAAACGCTCAGATATCGAGGTTCTAGGAATTTTTGGTGAGTTTGCTTGGACTAGGTAAACAAAGTTAGGCCACTGCCGTTCCGTTGAAAGCCTAGATATTTGTCTACGATAGAGAAATTCTTCAGTAATCCACACGAACTTAAATGTCAGGCGCTTCCAATAAGCTTTCTGACTAGCCGATGCTTAGAATTATTATTCCCTCCCTTGCCGGTATTTTTGGAGAACGAAATAAAATTTCCAGCCGGTAGTCATACGATAGAACGTGGATGATTTATTTTTTCCAACAAAATGCGCGAACAAATTTTCTAAAACGAATTCTGCTACTTTTACAGGTTGTGTGAGATTTCATATAGCATTTACAAATGTTAGCAACATTATGATAACAATCAATAATTGTGGATGCTATTACCATTATTGTGATAGAGGAAGAAATTTCATATGCATACATATGCCTTGTAAGTTAGACGAATGAAGAGATCACTGAAATAAGAGTGCAAATAGATATTCCTCTAACGTATGAGTACGATGCGCATTTAGATCAAGTCAGTTAAATGTACTAAATCACTGTCAGTGGTATATTACAGTAGTGTTAAGTGGAAATACTTTCGATTCGAAACATGGCTTCTGCGGGCTCTGAAATACTTTTCTTTCATTACGGTGGTACTCTATATAAGCTTACTGGTTGTAATGTGATTACAATTAATTGTGCATATTATTAGGAAGTACGCGCAACCTAATACGTACGGTTGGAATATGTTATTAGATTATGTTAGTTCTAAACTTAGAAATGTTCTCGTTAATAACGAGAAAAAAAATTAAAGAAATGTATCAAAGAGGGAGCAGCTTGAGTAGATTCAAAAGATTAATGTTATGAATAATAATATATTTTTGTAAATTAAATCGTATTAGTGCGCTTGCCTGCTACGTGAAGCCAGTTGCAGACGCGCGACGATGAGGGGAGCGATGCGTGGTCGGATGATGGGTGGTCCTCGACCTTTCTTCAAGAAGCAATTCATTCCACACATTCCTTTTGATCTGTATCTGGTACGAAACCACTTTCATTTCACCGTTAGAAACACATAAAGTTTATCATTATTATTATTACTATTATTCTGTAAAGAGAATCGAAAGAAATCACCGCAAACGTCAAACACGTACCTGGTATTAGTTTTTTGGTATCATAGTATTCCCGTCTCACTTATTATTTGCAGACAGGTCCAGTTCTGCAAAATGTTTCTGCACCGTGGGATGATTCCGAATTGTCTGCAGCACTGATCAAGAAAAATCAAGAGCTTACCCCTACGGACACAGAACATCAAACGTTACTTAATCTTGTAACAAAACTACAAACTGTAAGTATCTGTTAGATATGGGAATATAGAAGATAGAGAAAACATAAGACGTTCCAACAATGTAACGTTATAGATCTGAATTGGTTATCATGGCGCCGCGGGCAAAGGCTCCACCAATGGCAACGCTAGCGAGAAAATTCAGTCTGACGCTGTTTGTCAGCAAGTTACTAAATTCAATCTCTAAAGATATCAGGTTTAAATGACGTTTTGTGGTGCATTTTTTCGTTTAGCCTTAAACGGAGTGCTAGAATTAGCTGATACCTTTTTGCGAGTATACGTAGTAGCCGCAGACTAGCAAACATAGATCGTTTTTTACTGGTACATTTTCTTTTTGATCACAGGTTCTTGATCAAATCACAGTGGACCCGCGAGGATTCGATGCTTGTGCAATCGAAGAGGTACGACAAGTGGGATCATACAGAAAGGGTACTATGATTGCTGGACACAATGTTGCGGATTTTGTCATCCTGTTAAAAACGTTGCCCACTGAGGAAGCTGTGATGAGACTCGGTCAAAAGGTAAGAGCAAGCAATCCGAATCTGACAAATTCCAGTGGAGCAGTAAAAGAAATCAGTGTTAGAAATATGGAATAAAGGAGGTGCTGGAAGGGGTTATCGATGAAGTAGTACAGTAGCATATTCTCAAAGACGAATTTCGGCAGTGATCTACTTCCATCGCGTTAAACTAGCCTTTCTTTGCTGTATTAGGTCCTCGAGGATCTTCGAGCGACAGACGCCAACTTGAAGGTCGTTTTAACTAAAGATCCGTGCGGATTCACTATAAACTCCCAAAACAACACCTCAGCATGCAGATGTCTAATTACGACGCTTCCTCCAAACATCCGAAAGTTGGAAGCGGATTTACATCGTAAGATGCGTTTTTTTTTAAGGATCCAACAATAGGTGCGATAAAATATTTTTTTTCGAATTGATACTAATAAAAGGTTTAGATGAATGAATAAATAATTATTATTAGTATTAAAATTATTAGTGCGTCACGTGGGTGTTCAGCGATGCGTAGTGCAGTGAGCTTTTGTCCATTTTTTAAGCTTAGTTTTTCTTTTGACGTGTTTTAGTTCCTCAACGACTGGTCGTGAATAATTTGGCTGCATTACGTCATTCACGGTGGTTCGAGGACAATGGCCAGAATCAACCGGGCGTAAAAACCTTGATTCGACTAATAAGAGACTTGCGCAATAGGTTTGAAGGGCTCCTCCCGCTGAATCCCTGGATGGTCGATCTACTTTGTAAGTGTATTCGACTAATTTTTCTGATATCGGTAATATATTTCTGATAGTAATTAGTACAACACTAAATGGGCGAAATCTCTTTTAATGGCGATGCGTTCGCACAATGTAAGCTTATTTCCTGGGACGGGGAAAAAATTATTTCACGAACAACGCAGTTTTTTATAATCAAATCTTCCCTGCACCAGCGGCATCGTCTTTATATCGTCGTTTATGACTTCTTTTCTAAATTATTTTAGATAGTTGATCTTAGGAATCATAGTTTTTTCTATTTGTATGTTTGAACTTTTTAACTAGGTTTCTGTATCATTCCCTTTTTGGTTCCATGATGCTTCGCTCTGTAGGCCACTACTCGATGATGAATACGCCCGATGGCCAACCTCTTCAACTGGCCGATGGTTTTAAGCGGGCTCTTCAACTTCTTGCCTGCGGACTTTTTACACCAGGCTCCTGTGGTATTCAGGACCCATGTGAGGCTAATGTTATTCGTGTGCATACTGCTATGACTGTAGAAGAACAGGACATTGTATGCATGACTGCACAAAATCTTGTGCGACATCTTCTCAATGGGAATTTTGCACCGTTGCTTGGCCATGGCAAGAAAAATGAAGCGATTGAGAGGGATGCGTGCGTTGTCAACGGAGTCGTTATCAATCCCCTTGGGACAGCCTATGAAAAGCCGCCCGAGCGAGGCGCTGAAGAAGATTTACTGGAAGGCAGTGACGGAGAACAAGCTGAAGATGTGGAAGGAATGCAGACGGAATAGAGGAAACATTAATCAATACTCGTGCATGAAAATTCATTTTTTAAGCTGCTGATTAATCAACGATGTGCATGCTAAATGAACTAGAATCGAGTAGCCAAGGTTCTCATAGGCCTGCTTATAAACTATGTTTCGTATGTACACAAAAAACATAAAAACGAGCCTAGCCACTAAAAATGCCGAGGGTGACAGGTAGTGATACAGAATTCGATGTAGCGCAAAGAGGGAACAATCCAAAAAAACATTGAGGATTCTCCTGTAGTAGAGAAAACGTCAGTATTTTGCAAATATACCAGCTGTCGGTCTGCACTCCAGAAGTAGCAGACAAGCTTACTTACATGTTTCACAATGCCTGCCGCAGCTAATAATATAGGTTTTGTCGTATATTAAGAATTTTTTTCATCGTGTATGAATCTGTAAAAATGCTCTCAGTTTTCGTATTTGATACGTCCTAGCACCACCGAAACAAGTAAACGACTAGGTTCACGGAGCAAATCTGGTCGGGATGCTTTTGGAAGGCTAATAGAGGCCGATTTATATGCCTGTTTACTATTTTTGAATGCCGCAGTGGCATGCTAATGGCTAAAGTGAGTGGAGAAGAACGATGAAGTGATTATCTTTAATTTCTTGAGATAACAAGGCCAACAAAGATTTAGTTGGATTAATTATATCTTATGCTGAGAACACGAACTCGCAATCTGAATATAGAATTAGTTAGCGAAATGTAAAAACTTATCTGACCACAATGCGGACATATATTGGCAAATAATTCAACGGGAAATGAAGATAGGTGTATATTATTTCGTCTTACTTTTGTTTTCAATATTTAAGTTATAACTGCTAAAGGTTTTGAGAAGGGAAAACTATGAATCCTGCCGGTAGCTGACATACGCTGTAAACAACTAATTATTAATTAATGGAGAATGTCGCTTCAGAAAGTCGTCTGTCGTCTTACAGTGTAAACATATTGCTCATAGGTAATGGCCTGAATTCAGCACTGAATAGTACCATTGGGAAATAAGGTTCTGTATAAGCGAGTAGTGGGAAAAAACAAGGAGGTGAAACAAAAGTATTTTCAACTCAAACACCTCATGGTGTTTTAAAAAAACTTGTCCCTTGACAAAGTGGCAGATTAGCCGGAATAAATGACAGGAAAACGTTGCACTTTATCGGTTTCTGATATTTACTTCACAAACAATTCCGTAAATTGTAACTGATATGATATATATTTTATTATCTCGAATATACAGATGAGATTTTTTTATTTCGATGTTAAAAGATAATTTAATCTATGCTTAATTCATATGAAGTTCAAATTGTTTTTGTCGTAAGGGAACTTAAGAAATGATTTATTGCTCCAGAAAAGCTTCTGCAAAAAAGTGAGAACGGTATGATGATCAACTTACATTTACAGTATATCGTTTTGTAATGTCAGGGAAATGTATAATAAACAAAGTAAAGATCACATGTAATGTCTCAATCGTCTTATCTTTATTGTTTTCTTTATTCGGTGTAAAGATCGTTTCATTATTCTTATTTTAGTATTTTTTTTATTGAAAAAGCAATTAAGGCTGTTCAACAGTGATGCTAAAAGTTAGCTGAAAGTATCTACCGATTTTCCCACAATTATTATTATTATTAATAATATCCAAAACATAGCCTTCTACTGTAGCCTATTTTGGCTAAATTAAACTCGCCAATAAAATGGGAAATAAATATAGCCAGGTTGAAGCCAACATTAAATATTCCTGTTGCTTAATTCAGAAAACAATTGAAGCATGACGATGAGGTCTAACGTCGTCGTCAAATTTATAAGCCTCTTGAGGAACTCAAGACAGCAAGCTGCATCGATAGTTTAATTTTCCGTGCAACTTGTAGTACCGGATGCTTCTCGTGTCCGTTGCATGTACTACCATAATCTTATGTCCAAATCTATCCGACACTGCGATCGAACTAGATTTCTCTCTAAGACAAGGCTGTTTTGTCGCCTACCTCCTATCCAACTGGTAGTAGAGATTGAGCCATATTTCGTCTTTATAGCGATCGTATGCTGCAGGCGTGTTTTTTGTTAATTCGTTATCGAGCATTTTCCACCGAGTTAAAGTCAATTTTCTGGAAGCCCATTATTTTAGTCATATTTTCAAGGATGAAGGAAGTTATGCTTATATTCCTGGTTGTGTTTATCATTAATCTTGAATAAATTTTCGCAGCGCTGATGCCTTCAAGAAACAAATTTCACTGCTGAGCACGTAGTTACTATCTAACTCATGCAGGGCAGAAAAAAGCATATCGTAATTTAAACAATTTACTTTATTAAAACCTTAACAACTTTTCCATCTTTTGGATCTTTTTCCGCCTGTAGTTCCGTGGAAGCAATCCACTTTCGAACTTCGTTTTTTCGCTCGGGCTTCTATTATAACACGCATACTGAAACCATTATCGTAATGCACCTTCTACGAATTTGCGCAAATCGGACAAAACAATGACACTTTTGACTAAAATAAAATTGGAGCGGCATGCTAAACCGTTTTCTGTCCCATTAGTTATTTTTCTGTTTTCAGTTCTGTGCAGCTGCCTTGACAAGTTTTTTCTTTTTTGTGAAGTAGTCGCGATACCACTCGATGCACGCATGCTTTCGTTCAACTGTGATGTATGGGTTTTTTGAGAGGCCGACACATACGAGTTCCATGAACTCTCGAACCGGTCCGTGTGGGAACGCCGCATCGTCTTCGATTAGATGTTCCAAAAATACGTGGTCCTCGAAACTAACAGTAGCTTCTTTGTCGAATCCTGCAAGAATGGGACGTTATAGCAGGTGAAACACAATAGGAAACATGGTTAATCCCAGATAAGCATTTTTAGACTTTTGCCACGTGCGTTTTCTATAAGCAGTATGTGCTCATGTAAAGTCATTGCCGATTTTTAGCATGCAACTCGTGTGTCGCTAACATTTGTGAGCTATGTTTTTATTCCTTAGAATTCGTCTTCCAGCCACTAGTTGTAGTGTTGATAAAGTACCGGCACCTAAGAAACGTAATAGATAACATTTCAGCACAAAATATGAGGATATCCTATCGGAGCTTAGCTCAAGCTATGACTGCTTGAGTTTTCACCGATGTGCGGTTTTGTTAATTTCCACTCGGTAATGTATGCAGGCCGTGGAAGGAAAGCAAGAAAACATTTGTGAAAACGTTTTTACCTACGTTTTTAATAATGCTGTACTTATCAAAATCGCTACCCAAAAATGTTAACTTACTGAAGAAGATGCTCGACTTTGATTTTTTTTTTATGTTTAATGAGCTAATGTATATAGAAATCTGACGATGCTACTCTTAAGCACTAAAATTCATCCGAATATCATACGGAAAAATTGTTTCTTCTTACCCTCTTCATTGTCAATGGGAAATTTCCACAGTTTTCCACTTTCGGTCCACAGGATCATTTCGTCGAGCGCGTTTTTTGGAATCACTGTAATTTTTTGGCGTGCTTCGCGTTCTACAAGCGTGTCCAGTAGGGTTACAGGTTTAAACATTTTGTCGTCATGCGATGTCGAGGTGAATATTCCAAGACCTGGGCCCTCAAACAGCGGGAACTGTTGAACCGTACTGGAACACGATATGAACTTCAATTCTTAGTACGCACCGTATAATTAAGCACTTGAAACAATCGTTACCTTAAATCGGTGTCTACGGGAGATAAAGTCTAGGACGAACGTTATGGTGAGAAGCGACATTTATTGGAATACGTCGACAATCGCAAATAATGTCTGTGCAAGAAAATGTGCGTTCTAATTAGCATTGCTATCGCATGAGTCGCATTGATCTGTGCGTTTTTTTAATTTTGTTTCATCAATTCGTTATTGTTCATGCATCATAATTAATGCTGAGACAATAGTACTAAAATATATTTAAACAAGTAAATATTTGTACCATTACTAATATCATGTTTATCCATGTATCTGATTCACAAAGGCTTCTAAAATTCTAGAAAAATCTTTTAGCTCTATCTACTGAGAAAAATTACAATTATTAGGGTTACAGTCGCTAGCAGTACCTAGTCTACAAAAATTCACTTTTTTTAGTGAAAGCGTAGTTATCTTAAGTCAATACAGTTTTTCTAATATCATATTAAATATTGGGCAGCAAGCACATTGTATAAGCATGGCATAGTTTCAGATTAATTTGGAAGAGGGTACGAAGATTGCTGTAGGCTTGCTAACAGTAAGCCTATCTCAAGCCTATAAAACATTTTCGTGATCAATAATGAAAGCCACTATTCAGATGGCACGCGAAAGCAACTTGTTGTTGATTATGTCGTATGACTGAAATTGTGCCAAAGCATTGTTAATTACAGTAGCTTATTGCATTACAAATTGAACCAAAACATTTGACGAGAGAATGACGGTACACATTTAGCTGGGGTACAAGTTGTTAAACATATATGAATATAGCTTCGGCTGATAAAAATCGTTTTATTCTGTTGATTTCTCAAGACTTGTGAGTCGAAGGCGTGAGCTAAAGATTATCTATCTTCGATTATACCGTGCACCTTGGATAAGGACATCACCCAATGACAAAATTTTGTCAATGATAGGAATTACAAAAATATTCGCTAGCAAAGTGCATTTGCTGCTTAATGCATTTACCCCATGTCGCATATGGTGCTACGTGCTCTCTTAATTGAGGCAACACAAAACATGCTAGATGCCACCAGTTAGCAATGCAAATAAGCATAGCTCTGTAACGATATAAGCGCCCCAGAAATGTTATTCCATCGTATTTGTTGCAAACTCGTCTCCTGCATGTTTCGAGTCTTACGCCTGGTACCGCTGATGGCTAGCTTCCAGCACGAAACGCGATCTGTCCCTTTGTCTATGTCCAGGTTCGAACGTAGATCACAACATGTTTCGAAGGCTACCGGGAAAATATGTTACCTACTAAGCTATCACAATTCGTCTAAACAGATTTAACCGGCTAAACGGAGAAATAACAAGTTTTGCAGCATTCATCCGTATCTTCTACATCAAACGACCTTTAATAACCGAAACAAAGATGTTTTGCTCTATTCAATATTTATGCCTTTCCATATTATCAACGATTTAGCAAAGCATAATTTTAGCAGAGTGTTTGATCGTTAAATAAGACGTGCTTCTAGCGTCGAAAGAACGATAGTGGCATTTCAACACTAATAATCAGCATAGTGATACAACACGCATTCGAGAGGGCAATTTAGGGTTTTGTGTCATCAATACATGCATTAAAATTCACATATTTATACTACTGTGAAAAAGCTATGCCGTGCTGATACAATTGAAGCATGTTGAAAAAATCAGATTCTCTTCTAAATACTCAGATGTTACAAGCTTTCATTCGGGCCGGTTATAAATGACTGTATCTCGATCCGAAGCCAAAGTTTCGACAACGTTATAGATTGTACAAGAGTAATGCAAGATGAGCCGCCACAGGTCACGCTAGATAGAACCCTCAGAAAATAAACAATCATTGTTGTGAAAATAACAATCAAAACATATGTTTCAAACATCTACGCGTAAAAACCTTTCTCTAGAATAAATAGCCATCGTCGCTTATCCAAAAAAAGCAATTTTGCAAATTATTTTGCTCACTAATACTATTATTCCGTACCTATCGATTTGAGTAGTATTTCTCCAAGTTGATTCAGTTTATCATAGCAGTGGCTTTTCTAATGTATAACGTTTGCTTTTTATTTTTTATATCTTTTACATGTCTTTTCCTGAATGCTTCTAACAGCATTACATACTAGAGGGAAGCCACAAAAGAGTAATGGCTGAATATCAATTATAAACTATTTGAAGCATTATCTACTGTCGACCAATGGGCCAACTACGAGAAGAATATTCAAAAAGCTGAAATTATAACTAACAGCTAGTCGAAATCATTTATTTCAAACATTCAGAATTATAACTCATACCTTTATAAATATATCACACGCTAGTTTGCGTTCATGTATACTTTACGAACAAAACACTTGCCCTCGTTGAGGACAAAAATTGCGCGGGCATATTCAACCATACTATTGACTACGATGAGTATTGCTGCTTAAATTTAACGTTGGTTGAACACGTATGATTTCTCTATCCTTCTTGAATTCTTTCAATACTCGAACCTCTCTACACCCTGATAGAGTATATACGATTTTTATATTCTGCATCAGAGTTTCAGGCACTCACAGAGCTCACGAGTCCTTTATGGAGGTCTGTTGCACTTGTTTTCAATACGTATCCTAAAAATTACAAAATAAGCGACCTTCAACTCATGCGAGTCGACAACTACACATGAGACAATAATATTTCATTGCCCGACCTTCATATCCACGTATTAGTTTGTCTTTATTTGTTTTGCACGGCACTTCACGTCGAAATCATTATGCTTATCTTTGAGACGTTCACCAACAAGTAAGCCTTCTTGCTCAGCTTGGAGTCGCTTGAACTTCATCGGATCGTTATCATCGCTGAGGACACAGGGCGTAGCCTGTAGGAAAATGTCGCTCCAGCTTTTCTTACCAGTATATGACAACGCGTAGAGATTGATGAATAGACCGAGACCTAAGAGTCCTTGAGGTAGAGCGAGATTGAGAAGAAACCTCGGATACTTGCAATCGTAGAAATAAGGAATTATTCCATGGAAAATGATAAGGTAATGTTGTATAATTTGAGCAATGGTCAGATGTTTCTTCCACCAAAGATACGGCTTCATGTGGGGCCCAAGTGCGGCTAGAAAATAGTACGTATACATTACGACATGGATGCCAGCATTAAGGCTCACTCCGAACCACGGATGGCCGTCCATACCAAGTGATAAGAATATGTGTCCCGTAAAAAGACAGCAGAAGTGATGGGAAACGTGCTGGAACGTGATATGACTGTTCTTCTTGCGCAGCACGAAGAAGATCGTATCAAGTAGATCCAGAGTGCGGACAAGCATGTACCACCAGCCGAGCTCAACTATCCGCAGACTTGCTGGATCGGTCGCGTACGTCATGCCCTGACATAGTGGATTGTATCCGCCGCAATAAGCAGCTTTCGGAAATTCAATAAAGAAGTACGCATTCGCAAACACCATGAACAGATTGTGCACCTTGATCGCCCATCGAAGATCGTAGGGCTGACGGTTTTTCATGTAACGAGGTCCAATGATATAGACAAACATCAGATAGCTTCCCAGTACAACGAGCGGGAACAGAGGGTCACCGATAAATAACCAATCCTTGACCCGCGGATCTAGTTGTCCGTACACTCGATGTCGCATTGCTAATCCTCTGAATAACATTGACTGTTTAGGCATTTTCTCTATAACTCACTGCTAGCAGGTTAGAAGAACATGAATGAAAGTCGTCACTGTTATTCTTTCCGTAAATGCTACCACAGACTGCCGGTCGCAGGGCACTATGCTGTTCTGCGTATATCACTGCTGCTGCACCGCAGTTGTCCTGCGCCAACACGTCTCTGGATTGAAGCAAGGTAGCAAAAGACCGTGAAGCCAATTTAAAGCTTACACCTTTTCCCAACATAGAGCTATGTGATGGACCCTTGCACATTAACGAACCCCAGCCCGATTATTCGAGAAGAAGGGAGAAAGGAAAAGGTACGGAATGCAACGGCTGCGAAACATACTTTCGATAGTAATCTATGCGTTACAGTAGCAACTATAGACAAAGCAAGGTTGTAGTTAAAACGGTCCAGACAAAGGCCACACAGACGCTAGCCGAATACATACTTATGCTATTAATTTGTTATATACTGATTGTAAGTGACGAACATCGCAGTCCCTGCTTGAAAAACTTCAGGTGGATAAGAGTAAATAAATGCAGAACACAAATTCTATTTTGGCCGGAACCATAGAGTTCAACAAGTAACCTTCATATCGTTTCAGAAAATCTAGAGAAAAAAAACTCTTTTGCGACGTGAAAGTAAGCCGACTAATGTGGCACCGCCATAGAAACCAATAAAGGTAAAAAGTACCCAGTGACTAACTACTGAAGATTCCAATCTCGTACACTTCCAAAATTAACGATGTACTAGAAACACCAAACTCATACCACACATGAAGTGTCCTCGCTGGGCCGATTGAGATTCCGATCTCCTTGTACCACGTCAATAACCGGGTTGTAATCGGTGGGGATCCGTTCTATATAGTGTAAACAATCAGAATAATCGACAGCAGGGAAATGCGACCATACATTCCATGTTGACGTAGAGGAAACGCGGTGTGCAGATTTACAAAATACATCGACTACCAAAATACAATAACACAAATATTATCTAAACCATATATATTTAGAAATGTTCTGCAAGTACTGCGTAATGTAAACCGCACGTACGAACACTTGAGCTTTATAATATAACCAGCTAGTTGACCAATACGTTCTACTCAAACGACAACCAGGGTCATAGTTTAACTAAGATACGTTCATGATATGATTATAAGAAATAATAAAAGTTCGTATTAACAGGGCGAGGTGAATGAAGCTTCCAAAAGACAACGCGTAATCAGAGAAAGCTGCAACGCAGAGTGCCGAAACTGATTCACAATTATATTCATAACGGAATAACGGCAAAAAACTAAGTGGCTTTTATTAGGCGTCCATATGTAATGTTAATGGCAAATGATCGCGAAAAAGCACAAATACAAATTCGGTGGAATCTACATATCTGCTAGACGACGCACTGCTGTATATGTCAGGCCTGTTAATATACTATTAGAGGTCTGAAGCAACTGCCCAAAACGGGTGACACGTCAAACAGACTTGTTTTATACCAACATGTGCATCCTCTCCGTGTTTTGGGCGACTTTGCAAAAGTCTCAAGTGTACCGACTGCAATTCTTAAAAAAATTAGTTGAACGGGCACGTCAGTTTTTCAAAACGTTCTCTTACAGACGACAATGATCATCTTCTAATGAATGATGATTTAAAGTTCTTTCAACAATTATGCTTTGTGTGACAGGGTCAATGTAAACTTTCCAATAGGGGACACTTCGGGTTCCTTCCAAGGTAAGAGCGCCGAGATATTTCATATATACTTTTCCATACAAAATTGAATAATGTAAATAGTACCCCATCTATATCTGTGAAAATATATACAGATCATATAAAAAAAGAAATAAGGGTCGTAGATAGTCGATAGAAGTTGACCGATCAAGTTTTTTCGGATAAACCAGAAAATTAGGTGCGATACTAGCAGTTGAAAACCGTGGTGTTCTACATTTCGTGCACAGAAGTCCCAATCCAATATATTCCACTGATGGACTTAATTCATGAGCAATCATGAAGTAATTACGGCACGACAGTCATCTTAAAACACGCGGGGCGCATCACAGACGTGATTACTCCTTCAGAAAAACTTCAGAAGGTTGGGAGCGCATCCGCGAAACGTGCTGCCCCCAAAAAAGTCAGAGATCTCATAAGTTATCGTTGAATTCAAGATCATTGACAAAAAACACTCGAACGTATCAACCAGCATTTACGACGTTTGAGAAAACAGCAATGCTTGATACGATCGAAGCCAATGCTAGTGCTCATAACAATATATATCGAAGATCAGTCGTTTAAAAGCAGCGAATGAATTACCCTTTTCGTTGCGCGAACAAATATGAAATAGTATGTAAAGAATATCATGCTTGTACGTGCATATTGTACTTTGTATCCGTGCACCCTCGCAATGAATATTTAAACAGCATGTCTTATTAGCACAAAGTGTGCTTTGGCAGTATTTCACACAAGGCAAAAATGACACCAAAACAGTATTAGATATTGTAAGCTAAATTGTAGTTTGCCCAGTAGGTATATAGCATTGATAATGTGTAATATCACATTAGGGTATTTCAGACATGTTCTGAAACTAACAACCTTTTTTTTATTAGTATAAATTGTAAAGGAATAGAGAATCATATCTATGTTCAAGAAACTAAACTATTTTGATTGCAGAGTACCGATTCTGTGAAAGCGACAGAGGTAACAACGCTACGAGTTTTAGCGTGTTTCTGAATAGTTAACATTTTAAGCATGTGTCGTTTTTGAAATAGCTGCGTTTTATTACTCAGTGAATCGCGGTATAACAAATGCTATACAGAATATTCACCTGTTGAACACTGCTCAATCAAGGTAATCATACATTTGACATGTTTACCACACATCATAGTTGAAAGCATTTCAGAATATCAGACGGATGATTAGAATCATAACAATCTAAAGGAACTGCCGTGAGACGAGCTCGCGCAAGGGTGTAATATAAAAGAGACTTCGCATCTTGTGACTTACAGAGCGAAACCCAATAACGCTGGTATTTTGATGGCCTTACCTATGGTCAAAAATTTCATCAATTTGATGAAAACAGTCTGATTCGGGAACCTGCTTTTTTTGGTGAGTTATCCTAAACACGCGGTTCCATGTAATTCACTAGCTCACACACTTTATTGCTCCATAACTAGTTCATCAACTTTGTGTGAAATTTCGGATACGTCGTTTAAACATATTACCATATAATTTAAGATTTTATCGAGATTCCAACGATTCGTGCATAAGCATTTGCCGTCATGAACAAATTATATAACAACATGCAGCAAGATAATTCTATAAAGACGAAGATGTTTACTAATTCACAGCGCTACAGTAAAGAGGCGCCTCTTGCTTTTTCGGATTATCGCGTCCACGCGCAGCAACACACCTCTCCTACGCCCGTAGAAAAAATACAACGTTCGCCTTGTTATCTCTTATCGTTTGTGTTATCGTTAATATTAAATCTGATGCGAATATCGAAGGCTTCCGCCGCGTGGATCGGTATAGACGACCAAACGATTGGATACCCTTGACTGACATAGCCGAACAGTATGCTCAAGCTTCGAATAACGCCCTTTTTCCGGCAGGCAGACGGCCCATGGCAACTGCGATCATCCATCAGGATGACGTAATGCTGATTGCGTTACGAAGTAATAAACATAGTCAAGTTTTGCAGCTTTTGTAGATCGGAATCGTGTGATTTGAGTGCCCAATTAAATGCTCTATTTGAGGCAGATGCTTCTAACTGCAGTCTACATTGCGTTCACGGCTTTCAACCGTCACTGTTGTAAGAAGATACTTTGTTGATGCTAGCTAGTAAAGCTAGCTGAATGGACAGATATTTATTGTTTTTATTTTTTCTTACATTCTGGTTCAGACGTACCCCTGACTAGTATATCGACTGTCAGCTCTGTAGCACGCCGCCAACTGCTTTGGACCATACATACTTGATATACACAAGAAGTGGAGCTATATATTAGTCACTCAAAAGCGACTGAACTACACAATGAACAAATAGGTACCAAGGTCTAAGACAAAAACTTAGGAAATCACTAAGTCGAATCCGACATTTCGCGGTTCGCAAGTGAAGCTTTGTTCACAGTTTTGGTCGTGTTGCTAATATCCGCTGCTGTTACTTGTTTCGTCATCTGAATTTGTCGAGCACTAGTAAATAACAACAACAACAACACTGAACGGAACTATTCTATAACGCGCTATTTCGTTCGAAACCGCCATGCAATACGATGGTACAAATAACAAAATGGGGCCAGTTTGTATCCAGGATGATGCCCAAAGACGACCGGAGTCATCATAGGAGCTTAGAATCAGCGTCTTCGCATATTTTCATTCGGATTTAAGGCAGACAAGATACAGCGCCAAATTTGGTTTTTTTATTTTTCTTTTTCTACCATTATTAGTTCGGCCATGTACTAATAGGAAGAAGTTAATACATTATGACGTATTAATTTAAGGAAATTAGAAAGAAAAAGTGTTCGGACGGAGAATCCTGTCTTGTTACTGACTGAATTAAATATAATTGCAGCTCAGCGCTGCGGTATGATTCACGCTGTTGCTCCGCGCGGCTGAGAAGCATTCAGCAATCGTTAACGCACAACTATACAGAGGCAACTACAAACGCAATAACATAATCAACAGAACACGGATACTCCTGGTTGTCTCCATCTCCCTGTATATATAGTTTATCTGCCGAAAAACTGCAACTTTATTAAAAAGCTGAATTTTATAAACATCTCAAAATTAATGCAAATCATCTGATTCATTATTAAACCTTACTGATAGCCTGACTATTCCATACGTACGTACCCACACTATAATTTATTCATGTTGTTTACGTAATTGCGCCCAGGAACTTTGCCAAAACAGTAGTGCAAACCTATCCCGTTTGTAAATTGCGTTGGCATTTTGTGCTGATTAGTGATAAATAACAAATCAATGACTAACATCGGTTAAGACAATAGCAATACGAGGTTTTACTGAGGCAATATTTCTGTGCTAATTATTATTGCGCTGAAGCTAGAAGAATTTGTATAACAAGCGAACGCAGTAAGCTATTCTTGACATTTGATCATTATTACTGCAGAGCCTGACCACAGTCCAAACTAGAAACAGTGACGCCAGCCAATGCTGAAGGATAAAATGAGTAGTCAACCGTTAACGAATTCTGCTATGAGGTCAAACTGTTAAGTGAAAGTATGCAGATGGACAGAGAGATTTTCCGTACACGTTTTGAATGACGTAATCTGAGTTAATAAATTGATTTATATAATATAGAGTCATTCCTAATACATAAACTTTATTATTATGTTCGCGGTACAACAAAGTCGCACGCACAGATAGGGTACTGTTTAGAGGACCCGGTAGAAAGAGCTGTATTTGTCATTTATGTCAAAGGGTACATCTTATGAATTTTTTTTTTACGTAAACTGTTGTTCCATAATAAGCATACTGCACCTTTGGAAAACTTTCAAATGTTTTAGCCGACTAGTTGTCTGTTATCTTGCAGCTTACGCACTGACACAAGGCCCGCATTGATGAAGTTGTCAATGGAACAGCTAGGGACATGTTAGGGAATCTAGAAAGCTTAACCCCTAACACATCGCAGCAATTTAGCGTCTCAAGCTTGTCTTCTGAGTAGTGTAGTGACAACATATCTACAATACGAGGTGATTTGAATTCAAATCTAAACGTAAACGAACTTCGATCCTTCAGTAAAAATTCAAAATATAGGAAAAGGGATAAAAACTATCTTTTTTCGTTTAGTCCTTCCAGATTACTCATATTGAGCCAGCTATCCTGACAAATCTGTGAAGCACTCCTGACGTAGTGGTACCGAGGTCTATCGCAAAAGGGACAGTTGAGAGCTAGTTACAGGAAAGTTTGTTTTAGGAGCTTAAGCCTACAGGCTATGTGCAGCGTCGCGAAATTCGTTGCGTAAAAAGAATTCGTTGTTGGCAAAAGTCTGTTGTAGCGCGGTCTTGAATTTCTACCAAAAAAGTTTTCTCAGTTAATTCGCTTTTTTATCTGATATACGAAATTTCACGCCATTCACGAACAGTTACTTTACGGAGTTCAAATAAGCATTGTGCCGATTCTGGGCAGTTTTTTTTTTGTTCAGTGAATATGGATTCTATGGCAGCTCCGCTCACGCGATTTAAAGTTGCTGTGCTTTTTCCGGGAAGGGTTTTAAGGAGCAAGATCTATAGAACTAGGACTTCTAAAACTAGAGACCATAAAGAATACATTCGACATGAAGTGTTAACAGCTAAAGCACATTTATATTAACACGTTGCGAGAATTTGAAAGATTGGTTTTCATCCTGATAGAAATTTCAGGTACCAACGTTTATAACTTATAATTTATTGAAATATAACGGCAAAATGTGCGCTTCAAATCATCCTTATTCGGCTGACTAATGTCATTTATCAGAGTTAAAAAACTGATATATACGACACGTATGGTCCTATGAAGTCTCTCTGGCTATGGCTGTAATGAACCTCAGATGTTGACGTCTTCAAAAAATATCTTTGAAAAATAAAGTTGCGATTTAACTTCTAGTCCATCAGAACTTATATAAACATTATCTTCGACAGTAAAAACGATGAAGACGATGTTGCGTTAGATACCTGCTAGCTGCCTCGGTATTGCCTACGTTAAATTGTAGGGATGTTATAATAGAGAAAGCTCTGTTATGCTTCCAATATATTTAATGACAACGTCACCACTGTGATTGATTGGAGTAGCACATATTTATATTGTATTCACCATGACTGATCGTCGTAATGGTTAAGACTAGTATCAAAAGCCAGTTTTGCACAAGTCGCGTGTTTGAGTCTGGTTAAACGCTTAAAACCTGTTCATGGAGACCTCCCTCATAGCAAGAAAAAATCCACCGCGAGGAATTTGTGCGCAAGTCACAAATCTGTTGGCGCGCTATTTTCCTAAAGGTAAAGGACAGCAAAGAACGCAAAAACCAGAGAACAACCTGGGATGTCCTGAAGATGCAGGCGCGAATGATATCGAGGATATGTGTACAAAAAACGACAGACAAGCTAAGATATCAGATCATTAGAAGTCTGACAAGACGGTGGGTGTTTCTTCGCAGCAGCAAAAATGCTACAAATGTCAAGCCGAAAGGACAAATGTAGAATATAGTTGACTGACTACGAGGATGTACACACGCACGTTATGGCTTCCAGCCACGTAAGGGTCTTTAGAACCGGATATGGTGAAACACTTCTGAAACGTTGACGTAAAAAGGTATCATTATCAGTAAAAAAGATGACAGCGTCATAAATAGTGATATCCACTAAAATGCTCATGCAATAAATCTGTATTGTATGCGCGGTAAGAGTTTTAACAGATAAGAAATTTCGTTACGCTGCAATTAAATCGAATAGCAATTCCTTGGTCAAGCAAACGTAAGGATTAATCGGTAATAGGTCGCCAGTAGGAACAAAAAAAGTTCACTATTGGTAAATGATACTTCCAATCGCTTCCAATAGCTATTGCAATTAACAAAATCAAGATTTCGAAAATGCACACTTACACCCGGCACTTCCGTTGGTCACTTTCTTATCGTGACAGAATATCAGCCCCAGTGCTCACGATAGGACGCCAGTTCTTTAAGGCCAGTTTGTGCCAGTTATTTCGTGACCTCGATCATAAGGTGAGCTACGTTATTTGTTGTAATAAATGTCACTTACAAGCAAAACATTTTTGCCAAACGGAGCATAGCTATTACCTGGCACTTACTAAACTAAATCAGTCATACATCTTGGTACATGACAATCCAGGCTTCTTTTATATATCCTAAATAAGATATTCGTATCAACGTGAACTGGATAGTAGGCATGACGTACCCGGAATTCCTGTTATAGCATGTTCCACCTAACCAGCCCATTAACTTGTGTTACCAACTAAAAATGAGAAACCTTTTGACAATTCTAGCCGTCATCTATGTGCCTTTTCTACCAGTCCTTTAGCGCCTTTCTACCTTTGTCCTATCAGTGCGATTCTGACGTTTCGGTTGGCAGGCAATCTTAGAAATATCAACAGTACAATCAACGGTATAAATAATATATACGTTCTTATTCTAATGTACACTTTATTGATGTGGAAAATAGGTTTTAAAAGGGATTAAGTCATGATTTTAGCAAGGCAGAAAAACTTTATACAATGAGATGCTTTCTGTTGCAAGATCAGAATACATACATCATGTATTAAAGAAAAAAGAGCTACTGCAAGGTCCACAGTAGTCAATAATCTCATTGTTTAACGTATGTGCCGCTACGGTTGCCCCTAATTTGTGACATGTTTTTGTACTTTTTGACTATGAAATTAACTGTGTTATTATGGTAATGTGCCTGGTTACCTAAATATAAGAATTATTTAAAAACTGTGGTTTCTTAGCAAACGGTGTAAATCACTGAGGACACCAGTACCTGCTTTATTAGCCTACCTTTTTAACCGAAACCACGTATCGTACATGGCTAAGATGAGTTCAACGTATGTTAACTTCATATAGTCTTGGATGCAACTTAGTATTAAAATATTTTTGTGGCTGTGCTAGGCTGAAAGGCTGTGCTATTATCCATTTTATACAGAAATAACGGAACAGCGTAGCTGTATAGTTTATTATAGATGAACATCGCTTTCTTGTAGAAGAGCTAAGAAATGAAAAGTAAGTTCAGGCTTACGTATCTCCTTCGTCCCCGATAACGTATTTGCCTGCAAATCTCTGGGACATGTTTTGGTCTAGATTTAAATCCGGGCATAGAGAAACTTGATTCTGTGCTGGGAGCCAGCCGTCTGACGGAATGCCTTACGCCGATACAGGACGCAAAATTCAAAGCCTAGAAAAGCTTACATATCTTAATTAAAAATAAGTTGTGGTATCACTTACTCGTGCTGTTGGTGCTTAACTTTCTTCCGTCGCGCATTACCACGAGGTGCTACTCTTTGGAACTCTTGATACTCAACCTCTTCTCCCATGGCCATGGAACATATTTCATCCATTTTCTCATTCAATTCCTTATTAACACTGCTTGAATCATGACGCTTTTTCCTATGGCGATAGACCTCAATATCACCCAGGAGCTGACTGCAAAAGAACATCCAAGTATCCATTTTTAGAAATATTTGCAAGGGGGAGTTGTGTAATAAAATGTACACTGTTTGCACAAATATGACATTTAGTCCAGTAATTGTCATGGAGATTATTAAACCTGAAACATTAATAACAATCTTCTTCAAAGTATGTCTGATGTTACCGAAAACATAAAAGCTCCCTTGATCTCAATTTAACTAACAAACTTCGTACCTGAAATTGGAAGCAGGGTAGAATATACGAAAAATTGTTCTGATTGGAAAAAAACTGCTTGCTCTATCACAAAGTTATTTTAATCGAGGTGGCTGTATCTGACAGAAATCCAGTGCTGGGAAGTCATTGATAATAAACCTACATTACGCCTACATTAGGCACAGAGACATTACAAAGAGACGGTTATAAATCGAACCAATATTCGAAGATACTTAGGCTGATTAAATATACTGTTTATAAAGCTTATTCATGTATATACGTCTACTAATCTGATTTCAAAATTAGTTTTATTACTTATGTAATGGAGGAAACAAAAAATTAGTATGTCAACTAACTCCAACGATACCGCGCCTGATTCCCTGTTGACTTGCTGGAGCTCTTGAACAAGTCGCGTGAGATTTTCAGTGACGCTGCCAGGCAGGGTTTTGGCGGCTTCTTTAGCAGCGACCACGACCTGCGGAGCAACGCCTGGAAACTTAAAATATCAAACACACATACATAAATACAGTTACGTACCGAACGCGGCGTTAACAAATCATGGTGATAATACAGTCAAGTTTAGCATTATAAGTAACTCAGCATCGCGGCAAGTCAATGTTTCTATAAATGATGAAGATGTACAGACCTCAGAGGCCAATTCCTCTGTGAATATAAATTTAAGTAAAGAAGAGAACTCATCACGGACGAACAAAGTGCACTTACCTGAACATTTTTGGTTTTCGAAGCCTTGGCTGCAGTCACCGTCGGAGCATCGGGACGTTTTTCGTTCTGTAAATGAAAACGTCAACACAGTTATGACTCATTCAATATGTAACTTTTGCCGGTGAAGCCATATAATGCAGATATAAAAACTTCGATGCAAAAAGTAAGCTTACTTAAGGACCTGAAAACGTTTACAACAAGAATTTTCTCTCTATAAGAAACATGTGTCTTGTTTCCGTGCATCATAGTTACATCAAGGACTAGCGTCGAATTTAAGCAATAAAATAGCAACAGCATGGACTATAGGAGCATTGCTAAATCTCAACCCATAATTATTTAAAGAATTTACATTATGGAATTCATTAGAAAAACTAGCAACTTTTGAAGAAATGTATACTGCTAGAAATACATTAGTGCTGTTCTGCTGGTCAGTTTGTACTATTCGGTTGTTAAATGCAAATAAAGATTAAATAATTCATACTGTCTATATGCGCTTGCTTTCTTTTTGACGAGTTTGCTCTTTTTAACCCTTTTTTGCAGTTATTTCGATAGTGCACTGAAGGACACATACTTAATTTCAAAGTACTCAAACTTGTTTTTAATTGGCCAGGCTGGAACACCATGAACATGGACAAACCTTTAATAGCTTTGCATGTCACAGAGTCTAATTCGTAGTAATTCTGCGTAGAAGGAACAGAAAAGCGTAAATTGTTTTTTGGTCGCTCATAAAACTTCTGAACAATAATGCAGAACTACGTTATAATGTTCATTCTATTATGTTTGTTAACCCAACCACAAAAACAGTTCATTCGGCATAGACTACATCACATAACCATTTATACTTGATTATTTGCTACTACTCATTAGGCTTTACTTTTACGCGCTTACCGAGAAACTCTTAAGCAGCTCATCCAATTTTTCCAGTTTGCCATTGTTCCTTGAGTCGCAGAATGATCGACTATTGCTTGTGATAGCATTACGTGTCAATCGTAAAGGTCTGAAATTTATACCAAACTTGAAAGTTTTTATTAGGCCCCCTCTATCGTGTTGTGCTATCGACTGCTCATCCTTACCACTTTTCCGAACAGGATCTAACTGTATTGAAACTTACTCAGAGAATTATTTTTAAATTATAGGTTATTATTAGTTAGTCTGGATCCGCCTGTATAAGCTAACCCGGCTCCAATTATTTTGAGGTTCAAAATAACAAAATAAAACTACACCAGCCTACAGCGAATTCTTCTCTTTCGGTGACGTATGAGTGCAAAGATATTGAAAAATCATTACACTTTTCTGACTAAGAGTGTTTGTTCTGACTGCCATTATTTTCCGGGGATCAGTTAGCTTCGGCGCAATGCTCCTGTGTTTTTGGAAAATAGGTTTCCATATAAAAATTTGCACGAACCTTCCGAGCGCCCGAATCATGCGAACACACGCGAAGGACGCCATGTTTATTTTGGCGTTTAATGCGCGGGCCATTCAAAAGCGCCGAATATCCACAACAACTGTATCAGCAGCATCTGCTAGTCACATTTCTCTGACAACAAACGCCCACTCCTTTGATCCCTGAATTTTTGTTTACTCTTTTTTGGAGCTGAGGTTCTTTCGTTGCAGTGGTTCTCTTTGCTGGTTGAGACTCTCAAATTTACCTATGTAATGCAGGTCCTTCATATGAACAGACATAGACACGTTACGTTAGAAGATTACAGATATGTATTCGTGATACGAGACCTCCAGTTGTATGAAAATACTCTCCTTGGACTAAACGTATTCTCAGATTTCTTTTCATGCATATTTCACACCTTCGCCTCGTTTGGTCGAACAAACGTGAAATGTAGTTAACGAATAAAATACGTTCGAATTATAATCCTAATCCAAGGTTTATGCTCATGCTATAGTATTATGGACATGAAATTAAAAAGATTAAATTGTACATCGTCAAAAGAACCAGCATTTGTTTCAAGGCAGGCTTGCATTTATGTAGGAAGTGTATAGATACTTTCACCTGCTAAACAAAAAATTGGTAGCCACAAAAAAACTTAAATCATCATCATTTAATTACACTTTTGACTAATCATACATATACGTGGCGCCAAAGCATGCCATCCAGCTAAAGAATGGCTAAAATGATGCAGATCATAGTGCTCCTTGCATTGCATGCATCGTCAGGCATCTACTAGATCACAATAATTCCACATTGAATACAAATGCTGGTCACACCAATACATCCCATATTGAATCAAAACACTCCGGTTTATATTAGTCGGCCACTGCCAGGAATTATCCACCATAGCACTAGTAAAAAAAGATTTGCTTTATTTTATTTTTGAACCATTGCTTCTGGCAAATCAAACGTTCCAAATTTTTCACAGAGTGGCGTTTAACAGGGTTGGTAATTTAAATAATTTTCAAGTGTGGACTTAATGAAATTTAGGTGGAGAAGTTGGTAACAAATTCAACTTTTCATCGTACAAGTTTCGTACAATTTAGACAGAGTAACTTAACATTCAACAGTTCGTTGGCTTCAATTTATTTAGTTTGAATCGTGAGAACAGCAGGCACGTTTAGCTTTGGAGATCTTAGGTAAAGCTTATTTTCTAAATAAGAAGAGTAGTTTCATGAACATTTTTGTCCGCAACATTTTTATTCAGTAGACGTATTACAGTAGCACAATTCTATATATCGGCGTCTCTTGCCGTTATAAATGCTTGTCACATAACTTATCTAGTTAAGCTGTACATTGTATCTATATTATCCGATCTATACGATTATCGTTAGCCGAAAATTAATCTTGATCTAAGCTTGAGTTGAATGCATGTCACGTATGAGTTAATTGTAAGTATATTTTGGGTCTGATACAATAGTCCTTGCCAACTTGTTTTCTATAGTAATAAAAATAATACACGTACTAGCTTTATACCAAGCAAAGCATAGGTTTTGCTTCTTGCGTGTTCCGTCTCGTGACTTTTGTGTATCCCTTTACCCCCCCCCCCCCCCCGCACTTTAAATGCAGCTTTTAATTCAGTCCTTAATAAAATCGTGCGTTTCGTTCCAAACTCCTGACGATGTATTGTGTCGAAGGAAGCGATTTGATGTTGTCTGGAAAATATTTTCTAAATTAACTGAAGCAGGCATGTAGATTGTAGTAAGGCCATACTTCTCAATCGCTTGGCCTAGAACCTTCTGTCGCGTTATACGGCTTTTAAATCGCTTGCTCCGCATATCGGCCCACTTGGGAACCTGCGAAATAGAAGATCATACGTGATAAAACGAGGGCTTTACAAAAAATTTACCTTCCATACTGATTTACTACAGTTCCTTGTGCCTTTGGATTAAACGTTGTCATTGTTAAATTGTTAAACAACAAAAAATGCGAAACTTTCAAAAAAGTTTGGAATAGAGTCTGTCACTTTTTTGAGCCTAAAAATTAAGGCCTGGTTGATTAACACTTACCCGTTTATTGGGCTTATTCTCATCATCCGTGTTATCCGAGTCCGAGCACAGGTCCTCAAGTCCATAGTCTCTATAGGACTCATTGAATGAATCGATGAAGGTGGATGTGTCCAGATTCACTGGACCCTGTCGATTCATAACAGGTGACGGCATCAAGCCAGGTTTCGAGACGAACGTGGTATTGTTACTCGCTGCCGAAATACCTCCCTTGGCACCAATGACAAATGTCTCCCCAACAGGACTGGCCGTCAACGCTAATGACGCATCGAAATTAGGCATAGCTTCCACTCCAGGCTAAAGCAAAGCACGAGAAACAAATACATATTAATTTTTGGTACCTAAAGAGCGGTATTTTTTAACTATCGGCTGCAAGAATCGATGCGCGTTATAATAGGTACTGTTATTCAGTGAGCTAAAAAAAGCTAAATTAACTGACGCCGACATTTTTCAGTATTCAAATGCATTAAAGAAGAGCCTATGTTGTGAAACTTCTACAATTTGTTTAACAAAGTTGCAAAGAGAGATCGCAGAGAGTATTCAATTTTGAATTTATAAAGTCGTATTTTGCTGTATTCAGAGTGAGTTTAAAAATTAATTCCATAAAATTGTAAACACGCATTGACCAAGAATAAGTTAATGGCTTGAACTTACTAGGAACGTTGAGTTAGCACAATGCACATCTTGGTCTCCTGCAACAAGCATACTTTGGAATATTGCCTGCTTAGCTAGATCGCCATGACGAAGTCCATCTTTCGCTTTGTCTTGCATCGTCTTAGTGGATGAAGCTTTGATGTCGCCTCCATTAACCGGGGCTGGCGGCCTTTCAATGTTTTTCAATCGTAATGGTGAAGCATTCTTTGCAATTTTTGGCACTGTCGATTTCACAGCAACGACCGGTACAGCTGGCTTTGCAAACAGTGAGTTCTTTTTAGCAACAACACTTGCTTCTTGAGTAAGGGCAGACCTCGTGACTTTCGGAGGTGCCATTACTGGTTTGTTTGTAATAGATGCTTTTCTTATGGGTGCGGGCTTCGTTGAAGTGCCTTTTTCAGCGGGTGCTTTACTTTGGATAGTACTACTGTTAGTAGCGGATACTTTTCTGCCAGCAGCTGCGATAGTAGGTTTTTGCTCCCTAGAAACCTTATCTCTCCCTTGAAGCTCTTTTTGTTGGATTTTCGCCTCAATCATCTCGATCCTCTCTTTCTCCTGAATTTCCTTACGTTCTTTAACCAACTGTACTCGAGAGTTCTGTGACCTGTGAAAATTGGAAAGCCCAATGTGATACTGTTATTAATTGACGTTGGCATCTTTTAAGCACGCTTATGTCATTGTCGCTATTGCTCCCCACTAAAGCGTTAATCGGGACAAGTAGCCACACCGTGGTCATGGGGCACTGCCAATACAGCAAATATATATATGTATATATATATAGCACAGAACTTACATTTGAAGAACACTTATTCAGGGAGAAAATGACTGATTGTTATCTAGAAACGCTCTTATCTTTTTTGTCATGCAAGTAGGAAGTGTTACCTGGCAAATCCTGCCTTATCGACACTCGGAGCCCGTGTTTTCTTTGCCTGTCTTTCTGGATGTGCACTGGTACTGGCCTGGCGCTTTAAAGCACGCCCTTGGTGCTCGCCTTCTGCTGGAAATACAGGTATATACAAAAAAGGGTTTACTGAGGATATTAGAAATGGTATTATTATTTAATGCACCCGTACAGAAGACAATTTAACTGTTAATGGTAGCATAAAATAATCCTATTATTAGCCAGTAAATATCAGTAAATGGTAGGAGAGAAAATCATGGGGACGCTCATTTCTGTCATCGGTAATATTAATCTGTTAAGCTCAGATACCGCCTGCGTGACTGCTCGTATTGTTGCCGTTGGTAGAGGAGTTCGCAGATTGTGGAGGCTTTTTGAGTGGCGTGCATCCTTGTGTTTTTTTAGCCGCCGCAACCGTGTCTCCTAAACGAGAAATTCTCTGCAGTTTTTTTTTTGCGCTTTCCTTCATCTGGTTGAGCATGCTCTACAAAAGACGAACAGAATCAAAAATTGATCAAATTTAGGGACCAGATGGCGCGTACAAACAAGTAACTGATTGCAAACATACTGCCAACCGCTATGATCAAGGTTAGATTTCATAGCTTGAAGAACACACATTTAACATGAGTTTAAACATTCTTTGCATACGTAACCCACTTACAAACTGTTTTCCACTTCATCTTCTAACCACGGGTTATTATATATATAGTATTATATATATAACCCATGATTAAGAAGTGCAGGAAATTATATATATATATATATATATATATATATATATATATATATATATATATATATATATAAACCAGAAAAGATCAGTTCTTCAATTCAGAAAAAGAATATATCGTTCCAAGATCGAAACCCTTTCTTGAGAAACGTTACTATCTTTCCAATGTTATTCGATGCTTCTAATTGATATAGAAATGTAATTACCCTTTTGGCGTTCGAAAGAATAGCGCTTCTATCTGAACCTTTCGAACTGGCAGATGCAATGGATATTGAGCCAAATGACGATATTGATGTATCGACGTCTTCCCAGTTTTCATCTTCTGACGAAGAACTGACCTTGTCAGCAACAATCTTAAGGTCTTCCGCAGCTTGACAAGCTCGGCGCAAAGATTCTTCGAATGCTGTTTGTGATAAAGTATCCCAGGGCAAGCGCTCAATTGCTCCTTTAAATTCCTCATACTCTTCATCCCATCTGAATACCGCGTCGATCTGAAAAATACAATGAGAAACTGAGCCCTATCAATATTAAATTGTATTAAAGAATTAGGTTAATATGATTATAGCAGCTTCCAGTGACGTGTCAACGTGTTTGAGACTGATTATTCTTCACTTTTATAAGAAGTTAGGTTACCTTAGAAGCAATATTTAGAAGATAAAGATATTTATAAAGAAACAATATTTAGAATAGATATATTTGAAAATAATTTAAGTATCTTATTAGTTTAGTATTACGGCTCTTGTCATAAAATTAAAGTAGTGGAAAGGACGCGCACGTCCTAGAGAAAAAGATAATGTAACATCGTGTAAGTGACGCTTACAAATAAAATGTATCCGTTCACTGAACATTGTCTAACATTTTTTCAACACCTTTGGTTTCAATAGATAAATTTATTAATTTGGTTAAAATAGAGGCTTGGTTAATAATGAAAACCGCCACAAACGTACCTTATAACCAACTTCGAGCATCTTGTTGGTGACGACATCATTAATCTTCTTGTTGTAAATAGCCACGTCATGAAGTCCGTACTTTTGAGGCGGTACAACAATCGGTGGGTTGTCGCTCAGAAGGGCCAGGGCATTTGAGAGGATCCATTGACCCCTTTCCGACACACCTGTCCATGCAAAATGGAATCGGAACAACACGATTCAATTATACTTCCGTGTCAGACTACTGCCATGATCCAAAGCACCAATCGATGTTTATGCAGATAACGACTTCGTATATCACAAAAGTTCAGGGTTCATTATTCTAATAAGACATTATAACTGCACTGCTCTCTTTTGTCATACTTTATTTATGCAGGTCCCTTTCCAATCCATCCGTTTGGCCATTCATGAACCGAATTTAGAATTTGTTTTTAAAATAATATTATAGAATACTCATGATTTGATCTTACGCAGTATGAGATTTAATTAGGATTCTGCTAGAGCCGATCTCATTTTTCGACCACCAAGCGTTTCTGTTCTTCTATCTTCTGTTCCCTTTAATTCTACAGGTGAAATTTGTTAATAAGGAATCTTATTTCGAGGTGCAGAGGACTAACGTTAACGACTTAACGTTAAAAATTGCTAATCAATGAGTAAAGTAATTGGTGTAACCACGAAGTAAAGTTTTGTTCTATATAATGTTATTTGCATTTTATAGGGGCAAAAGAGCTTTCTAACTTGCCTCTAGAAGGCCAATTATTAGCTGAACGTCAAAAATGGCTGAATAGTGGGAAGTCAAATTTAGCCATAATAGATCGCATACAAAGTTGAGCTGCTGCCGGAGCTGTACGCCTACGTGCAAGAATATTCTGCAACCGAATTTTGAAACATTTTTGACCTTAAACTCTGATTACTGACATTTAATGATTATTAAAGGTTGCTACTACATGTTCGACACATTATTGATATTAATATATACACGGCACAGGCAAGATGCCTGTGCTCTGAAATTTCACTGTAGCAAAAAAAAACAGCTTTGACGTGACCCAAAGTATACGACCTTCTCACTGTGCCGCAGACAAACGACCATTGCCCTTCATAAGAGCAAATATCTTGCAGTTTTTCGAGGACGTCAGTACGTTCGATACAACAATTAATGCAACTATGGCAATGTTAGCTTGAACAGCAAATAAGACAACGGGATTTTATTGCTGAGGTTAAACCCTAAAGTTATAACGAAATGCTTACCATTTGAGCTTCGCGTCATTATATTGGCTAGCTGTAAGCCGGGTTAACGTATGGAAACAAATTTAACGTTAGATTTATTTTGCCTTGTTACACACACACACACACAAACCGTTTTCACTACGGGCCACACGGACTTCGGTCTCTTACAGTCGGCGGTATTTATTATCTAAATTCGAATGACGAAGATCATCGTCTGCCGCGCGGCTGGGGGTCCTTTAACGTGTTTCGGGCACTGCAATGGCTAGATTTTTTTTTCTGTGAAACAATAAAGGGCTCAACCATGTACTCTACTCATCATTTATTTAAAAACACAAATGACGAACAACAAACGTACACTTGATGGTGCAAATATGAACACAACAAAGGTAAAGAATATCGCTTTTAATCTTTAAGAAAAAGTTGTGAGTGCCTCTATGGCAGGTGACGGGCTAGCAGCCTTTAGCTTTACGGACGCAGTCTCTTCTATTTGAGCTTAGACTGTATAAACGCATAAGAGTACGCGAAAATCGACTAGTGTTTTTCTTGATCAGGAAAATTGAAATCGAACTATTATCAATTTCCTTAACCTATTCGTGGCCTCTGGTCTGGGTCTCTGGTAACGGCTTTCGTTTTTCCACCTTAAATAACAATTAACATTTCAATCTCAAACTGCATTGTCTAGAGTAGAAAAGCATATTGGGCAGAAATTTAGTAAAAGATATAAATAAAATAACATTCGTATATTTTTTTGACATCTGGCGCTGCCATTGAGCGTTACTTCAGATTACATGTTTTCAGCACGAATTAAATCAAACTATGTTTACACCCAGTTTCGAACCACGACGTGTCCATAACTTTAATTGGCAAATAGAATATCAGTACATTATGGACATATCAGACGGAGGGACAGAAATATACTAATATGCTCCAATAAGTATAACTCTGTAAACTCGTAAAGCAGCAGACAAGTTTGTAAAATGAAAAAGAATATTGACAAAAGTGCTGAAAACTACCAAATTTAGTACTCAGGCCAGATACGTACGCCTATCTTTGCTATAGAAATGAATTCCGCCTATCAGTCTCTCTCCTACAAGTTACCTCTATCTTCCGCATCGCTCAACTAAATAGAAGCTACACGAAAAAGAACACGCAAGTTAAATACATACTTGTTGATGATATCGCATTATTATCATTATTATTATTTATTATCATTTATTAATATTATAATTATTATTTATTTCGACAGATACATGCTCGTATATCTCACCGGACTAAGACTACCCTTTCCCCCGGGCATTTCGAGATTCCAGACAGACCGTTCAACCTATTTTCAGATTGAAGATCGACCTACTGTTCTGCCCGAGTGTTTACACTACAACTCCGTTCTCATATTTATCATCTGACATTTCGCTCTTCCTCTCGTTCTATCTCTTGTACACCTTTTTCTTCCATCTCTCTCTCTCTCTCTCTCTCTCTCTCTCTCGCTCGCTCTCGCTCTCGGTGTCTCTCTTACTTTCATTTACTCTTAACTACACACAATTTGAGTTATTTTGTATTTTGTTTAAAAGAAAAGCAAGCAAAACACATTCATCATCAGCAATTTGTTACCATCATCACCATAATAGTCTGGTCTTTCAATTGCGGTAGCATAATTACCATTATCATCATTATGGCTTGATCAGTAATGATAACTATTACAGTAATAGCAATAATAATTCATGGTAATAATGATAATCATGCAACGCCATGGTAATCTTCTGTTATTCAATCCAGGTATATATATATATATATCGAACTGTAGTAGTTCATGGTACCAGTACAATGAAGAACGGAGACGATCGAGCTCGTTGGTGATGGTTTTCTTTTCACTCGTTTGTTGTTGTTGTTGCCCCCGAGGTGACAAGAACTGTCATGCGAATTTCGTTTTTTGTCATGACGCAGTGTTACCCATCGTTTCCCCTGGCTATCCCGTTTTATTGGTTATCATGTTAACTTACATCCGACTGATCATATTGGCCTGTCATATCGCCGTATGGAATATAATTGGCCACTGTGCTGCTTCCGTTTTGGAGTATACAGTTTTTGTTCGCGGGATGCGCGCGAAACTGACGGACGTCAGAGGCTAGACGTCGAAATTTATCAGTACACATCTGAAATAGCTGCTTGCTCAAGTCCTATTGTTAAAACGTTTGAAGCGCCACTCACATATTGACAAGTCCGACTTGTCCTGTTTGGCCCATTTCTCTTACGACAGCGTTATTTCTTCATCGTATCATAATATATATGTACAGAATGTGGTGGTTGTTGTTGCTATTGTAAACGATGCGTGTCTGACCCCCTTCGCTTTTCTCTCTTAGTCTAATGGCCGGGTGCGGTTGTGGTTCAGCACCACGTTGCTGGCTAGAGGCCGCACGTACGATATTTTTTTCTATTCTTATAGCAGCTAATAGTTGTAGCAGTGGTAATAGTATTATTGTTCATAACTATTAGTACGGCCGACGGTTCTTTGCTAAAGCAATCATCTTATTACAGACCTTCAAGACCGAGCTGACAGCTCTTCAGACATATTGCCCACTCCACCAATGGTGCAGTAAGACATAATAGTAGGCAACTATTACATACTAACGAGACACGCACATTATTGAATTCATTTCCATTACGTCCAGTTACGGCGCAAGCGTCAAAGATCACTGTTGATAGCTTTTTCTTTCCGTCGATTCATTTGATACACACTCGAAAGTGCCACCATGCCTTGATAGCAAAATTGAAATAGAGAAAAATATTAGTCAAGCTTTACGGTTTATTTCTCGTAGCTTCTGATGTGGCTGGTCGCGTGTTAACATTGGTGACAACAATCACTGATGGCGGTATCGGACCGGTTTCATCATTTGCGTATTTCTCACCTGTTGTGACTTTTGCGCGGCTGCTGCTGCTGCTGCTCAACTTGTGTATGAGCGCAAGGAGCACATACGGTTTTTCTTTTTCCATTTGGGGCGAACAAAGGGACTACAAGGTTTCAAAAGAATTCGTTTTTAAATACCAAACTCCACTTCGTCCCCGCTAGAAGGCCGTAGCCGTTGTCATGTCTTGCCTTTGAACCTGACCGTGGCCATCCAAGCCCATTATAGTGGACGTGGTCTTTATGGTACGCACATACACATGCGCCTGTACAATTGTATTCTTACCGTTATTTATTGTTTTTACTATGCATTTTGTTATCACTACGCCTGGATCTACTTTTTTTTACGGTTTATTATTGTCGCCGCTTTCGAAGTTAATCAATATTGTGTGTGTGTGTGTGTGTGTGTGTGTATATATATATATGTATATATATATATATATATATATAGAATAATATGAGTTCTATAAGTGTGTTTCTCTGCCATGCTAAAATGTCCGTCTTCCGTTTGCTATATTCACAGATATGTGCCTAGATGCGAAAGCTCTGCGTGGGGATGGGATCACGAGGAGGTCATCGGTGGAATCCGCGCTGTCGTTCAGCTCCATTATTGGTCCAGTCGGTCAACAAAAAAGACTTCGACTCTGTCACGGGCAGATTTGCCTCTAGATTTTGTTACAATCCCATCGACAAAGGTTAAACCTATCGGCTCTTTTGTTTGACTCTGACACAGAAGAGACGACAAGGATTGGCCGACATATTTATTAGATCATTCGGGGTGGATGTGTTTCCGCTGTGGTGTCATCTTGGGCCAACAACAACAACAACAACAACAAACACGACGACGACGACGACAACTAGAGTTGAAGTCAGTCATCTCGTATTTGTATTGTTGAGACCAGGATTCGTTTTCCGTATGCTTTTCTGATCCTTTTTTTTTTTTGTCATCATTTAATCATCAATGTTGTGTTAATTTTACAACGCAAAGCAGTGTCTCTTCTCAACTGCATTTACTTTGTAAACCGACGTTTTGTCCTCGAATAGAGGAAATCGTTGCGAAGTTCCTTCGTAGTTACTATATTACAAATGTAACGATTGAGCCTGGTCACGTGGTTGGTAGTTATGGCCACGGACTTCAGCACGTCGGCAGGATTCACACGCTTTTTAAGCGGCAAACGAATTAATTACTGAACCGAAGATCTATCGCGTTAATGCGTCGGCGGCTGGTGCAGACGTTTCGAGAGCTATTACTGCATCACTCGGCAGCGATCCATTGGATATTGAGTTTGTTGTAGTGGGTGCTGCTTGTGCTGTGGTTGATTCTTCTCCACCAGATCCAGCGAGGCTGTTGATTTCTTGCGATGACCTTTTGGCGATTTCTAGCCCCTCCGGAACGTCGTCCTTGGCTTCTTCTTTTTCCTCGTCAGCGTCCGAACATCCGCTGAGTCGTGGTCGCTTGTTATTGCTATCTAGTTGTTCCTGCATTTGGCGGCGGCACCGCTTCTCTCGACGGAGCTTCTTCTGATAGAATAGCCGACGATGCTGCTCCTCCTGGAGCTGCTTTTCAAGCTGTTCGCGAATGCCCCGCTCGCGCAGGATTTCCACTTTAAGTTCTGCTTTCTCGAGGTGCATTTGCTGGACCTGTGCGCGTGCGTTCTCCTCTGCAACTTTAAGTAGGCCAAGAATGTTCTGCATCAGTGCATCGAACGACCCGGTCGATGGGTCGCCTGAAACGCAAACGAGTGCCAAATTGGTTAGTTACCGTATGCCGGGCGGCGTGGTCAAATTTGATCGGGTGACAAACTTGAAGTGTATCATTCTGCTCACATAATTATAGCTGTTCCCATTTGGCTACGGCTTTACAGAAGATTTAGCTATCTGTTTCAGCGAATGGCTGATTCAGTGAACGGAAGATAGAGTGTGACGAGATGAACACCGCCATCAGACACGTTTGTGTCGCATTTTTCCACATCGCACTGCTTTTGCACAGACGATCTTCTTTGTGTACTCCAATAACGAGGAAATTAATAATAATAATCAATTTAATCAGTACACGAAACGAATGGACAACAGACGAACAGTTGAGATCTAATGAAATATCTCCGTTACAGAGTCTGTTTTCCTCGATAAACTACCCGATGAAATACTAACAGTATTTTCTATAATAACATCAGAGAAATATAATACGATCTGCGCTGTGCCGTACAGGTTTGTTTTGCCGACTTCAAACACTAATTGCAGATGTATGTTTGTGTGTGTGCATATTTTGAACGAATTTGCATAATAAGCGATAAATTACGGGTACACACACGGACGAACTGCAGCAGCGCTCCACTGTGACGCAATCTATAATAGCCTACGCTCTTTCCCGCTTGTGATAATGACGTGAAAAATGAGGGCCAATTTGAAGCGCCTCCGTCGTCCGCTGCTACGGCTGGCTAACGCGGTCCCGCTGAACTATTCGAATTAAACAGGGACAATAGCGTCTGATAGATGTCTACTGTGGGCCGCGGCTGTGGTTAAGGCCACAACAGCAGATGCCTCTGCATTCTGTATTATCATTTATGTAATATTCTGCCCGTTCCATCGATGCTCATTTTATGCTGTGCGGTAAGACGTTTAGTGAGGTCTAGTTATAAGCAGGTACCGCACTGACACTTGCTTCGTCGTCATCGTCACTGTTGTGTGAACTAACGATTCATGGAGCGTTACTTGATGTGCCTATATTTATGGAATGTGCGCGGCGTTATCATGGCAACGGTATCGGGAATAGCTGCTGAATAAAGTGGAAAAAAGCGAGGACAACGTGGGGGTTAGCTGAAACAATGTCAGTTACTTACCGGTGTTGCTCGATACGCTATTGCCAAGGTGATGGTGATGATGATGATGGTGATGGCCAGCGGTGCCACGCGAGCCTGGCGTGCTGCTGTTGTTAGCGGTCAGGTGAGTAGCAGATGTGGGCGAACTGGGCGGCGGCGTACGATCGACCGACAGGTGCTGCTGCATAAGTGCGATTGGCGTGGGGACACTATGATTACTGTCTCTGCTGTCCCTAGCCTCGCCTCGGGTCAACCGTTCTAGGCCGAGCACACCGAGAGCACCCAGCCCACCATTACCCCCTCCGTGACTCCGACGACGATCTGATCCTCGACTCGACGTCGATAGAGCTTCGTCGCGATCCGAAGCCCGTTTCGGTGATCGACCACCAGTTTTGTCAAGGTCTGTAGCAAAAATTAGCAACGAAAACTATATGTTAACGGGGTTTCGAACATACCTCGCTGAGTAGACACGTTAGGAAAGGACGCTTCGCGATAACGGTAATATTACTAAATAATGATCCATCACACAAGTTCACCAAATTAGATATAAATTTTCAGTTCTCATAGGTACATTTTTACCTTTTTTTTTTTTTTTAGCTCTATTGTACTTACCATCATCATCTCCGTAATTTGAGGTGTCATCATTATGGTCAAGATTGTTAGCGCTGAGTTCACTGAGCGGTCCATCGGAAAGGCTACCTTCATCGCTGCTAACAGAACGCGAACGCTTCTTGCGATCGCTGCCAGATAGTTCCTTACCACCAGAAGAAAGGTTCAGAGCATTATTAGTAGCACCTTCGAGCCCACCGGAACCTGGAGCACTAGGAGCTCCGGCCGAGGAGTTCAGGCTGCTACTGATGCTGTTATTGTTGTGCATCTTTTTCGAGCTCTCGAACGAGCTCTTGCGCGACTGATGATGTTCACTACGCGGATGGCCGCCTGCTGCCGGTGATTGGCTTTCACGTGAACGGAACTCTTTTTTCGAACCATTGTCAGGGGATCGGGAGCGGTTTCTAGGCTCGGCTTGTAGTGCTCCCATCAGGCCCTGGTGTTCCTTAGTCTGCTGGCCACTTTTAATTTGTTGATGCGCTAGGGATGCAGCTTGCAATAGCTGACGCTGATAGGCGGCCGCGGCAGCTGCTGCAATTTGCGGATTATGCTGCAATCCTAACATGAGATCCATCTGAGATGCCATAGCGGCAGCCATGGCCGGGTTCATTGGTGGTTGGCCGGGAAGTTGCGCTGCAGCCATGTTGGCAACGAGAGCGGGCGGGAAAGGTGGCGGACCTTTGGGATCACCCTGACCGCCGCTCTGACTCCACATCGCCTTGAACAGCATCGCCTGCATCGTGTTCATGCTCTCGGCATCAGTGCCTATTCCGCTTAGGCCACTTCCCGTACCGCCTACCGTCTCTTCATCGCTTCTCGATTCTGTAATAGCGATCACAATTGTTGAGTCAGACAAAAAGCCATAACGGCACAGACATAAGGTTAGACGCTCTTCATTGTTGATACATTACAACTAGTAGAAAAATAACAACAGCTACTACAGAACTACGATAATAATCGTAGTAATAATAATAAAGATAAACAAAGACAAAAATAACGCAATGCGTTTTCGCTATGCTTATCTTTTGCTATGCAAATCTGGCCATCTTGTGTAAATGATCTCATGGTTACTTTCTTTTGTTGTTTCCTCTTATTATCTATTGATTTGAACTTTGTTATTATTTTTATGACTCGTAGAGTAGGCGCGCCGTAGTCAATAAGCCTCATTTCTACCTTTACACCCGTGGTGTGCGTGAGTGTTCATTACAGACAGTTTAACGCTGGATAGAGGCATAATTGATTAAAGGAAGATTATTTTGAAAGTTAATTCACAGAGAATCAATCCAATAATATTGACACTAATAGCTCTCAGTTTCGGCTTCTTTTTTTTCTTTTATCGAATTAGAGCGAATATGTGTAGGGCCTGAAACAGGCTTCCCATGTATCTGCTACGTATAGGAGTATTTGATGCAACAAGTATTAGTAATAGCTATAAAAATGCCGAGCCCAGTTGCATTATTCCTTGAGTTAAATGAGAAACTGTACGTGATTAAAAATAAACCTTGATTTAAAACGGGACTTCTTTTTCTTGAAATCCTGCATTATATTGATCCTTCGCTTGTTTCCATTGTTCTTTCTTCTTGCTGTTTTCATAGTCCCCTTCTTGTGGATGAAAAAATTCGATTCGCAAATGGAAACAGTTATATGTATGGTAAACTATCTAAATGATTTGTTCTTTTTCCTAAACAACGTTTTTTTTTTGGACTATATTATCAGGTTGAAATTCAAAAAATAGTTTTTTTAGGACGCGGAAGACCCTGGATTTAGATTGGGAGAAAAAGTGAGTTAAAGCTTCTTTTCGATTAACCTAGGAAATAATTAAGGCATCATTTCATCTTAACCCACTCAGCACTGCCATCAAATTCGATTTCTCTCTAGGGCGACCCCATTCTCTAACTGACGCGGGAGATAAAACCACGTCTCGTCTATGACAACCTATTCTCTAGGCGCGTCTTCTTGTTGATTAAAGTTCCGCAAATTGGTATGGATACGCCATACGCATTACCAACTGACCTAGAATCAATTCACAAGGAGCCTATATTTCAGATATTTTTCGCATTTTTCTAATTCGTAACACGCCGCTCTGTAATAATTGTACGAATTCAATAGCTTTGCATGTGGGATGCCGAAAGAGTCCTCCAAACTCCACTTTGTCAAAAGCTTCGTCGACTGCGATAACGTGTTGTTGCCCCCCAAAGTTTCGAAACCTGCTCGTCTCCTCGCTCGTACTCATCCCCCAAGTCCTCATTCTTAAAGTGTGAGCACTATTCACCTACCATGCTCTCGCTTAAGGTTTTTTGCCTAATGTTTTTACCAATGCTCGATAAATTTTTATGTCGCTGTATCCTTGTAGAAATAAAAAAAAAACTTGACCACTAACGTTAATGTTTGAGACTAAAAATTATTTTCTTTCAGCAATTCTAATGCAGTAAATTCAACCGGTTTTCACTTGCAAGTTAATGCAAGAGAATTTGCGAACCAAATTTCGTCTGCTAACGGCGCATAATTTAAAAGATGTTTACCTCTGAAACTCGCCAGATTCCTTTGGAATTTATTAATACATGCAGCAGCATACCCGTTGATACCCGACGTGGCAAACGAAACTGAATATTGACAGTAACCGAAAGAAGTCGAACAGGAAAGCGTCAATCTGAATGGAACAATAACGGAAGCGATAAAATTCTAGTGTTCTGAAGATAGTGTACTACTTCGTATTGATTCGAATTCATTATATATTCATCATCGTAAACAACAATAAAATTCATCTACCAGTAATATTGTTATATTCATGTTCCGAGGGGTAGAATGTTTATCGGTGACGACGTCAACGTGTTCCTTTGGCTCGCTGTACTAATTGGTAGTACCGTAGCTGAGGGTGTCTGACTCCTGCTTGTTTGGACCATCATCGCGTTATTATCATCGTGGCACAACCAAGGCACAAGGACATCTAGTGGCAGGTGCCGAATGTACAGATTCCGTTTTAAGTTCATTCTCTCAAACCGCGATGTGCGCGGTCGTGCCGCCGCGCCGATTATTGTTATATTAAATATTACGAATGATATATTATTATAATTATTATCATCATCATTGCTAGATTTTCTTGCAGCCGAGTAGGGGTCGCGGTTCTTGTGAGATTCGAACCTTTTGACTCGTCAGCAGTAACAGACATCATAAACAGTCCAGAAAAGCCGTTTACGCTTCGTTTTTTTGTAATGCTATTTATTGGTGTTGCGGAATCACGGTGGTAGCGGCTCCTACTAATGCTTTATCTACCTGCTAATCGACGCGTATATACCAACCCGAGTCAGGTTTACAATTCATTTACAAATACAGTATTCGATATTAGAAGTAGATCTATATATTTACTTGTATATATACAAGCTGATACGTGTCAGTCTCTGCCTGTCTGTATGTATGTGCCTGTACAGAGATTAAATGCCGACAACAGCGGGTGAAGGGACAACTGGCTTGCGAGAGAACGCCACGGCAACAGACTTAGACCGTACAACTCCCAATGATTTTTCGCACTTCATTGACTACTACTACAACGACTAAAACTCGCAAAGGGATCCTTTTTCGTTTTTTTACTAATCTGAAATAACGAAAATTGCAAATCTCTTTTTTATCTTTCGTTATATCTCATTTGCTAACGGCATTTTAGCCTGAGCTTGTGTATATATGTACACTGTGAACATAAAAACATGTTTTATATATATACGAGACATCTATTTATGTTTAAAATTAGCGTATTTTAAACAAAATAGTTAAAAAAAAAAAACGGCTAACGCTTTTCTGTAGTAAAGTCAAGCCCAGCGTCTGTCTTCTATTTCGCATCTGTCGGATATTTCCCTGGAGCGAGTATTATACTTGTTTTTTTTTGTAGCTGGACATTTAGTTCGGTGGGTTTCAGCATCCTAGCTGCCATTGGCCTCGTCATTCAGTATTCACAACCAGCCAAGCAAAGATGGGCGCATTTTTTTGCTTTTATGTCGGTCGTCTTTGTCGACCCTTATCATTTAAATGAGTGCACCATTACAATTTTTTTTTCGACATTTATTTTTTCACGTTGTTTCTTTTAGGAGCCTACTGAAATCGACCGTTTGGAGTGGGCACCGTTTGCATCTAGCGGTCGTTATTTTCGTAGTAAACTGTCGCTTCCTTTGAGCTGATTGTACAGCGGTAGGCAACAACTTCTACTTGGGCCAATGTCAAGACTCGTCAGTACCGGGAACAGCAATACATGTTACGTTTCTATACATATGTATATGCATGTGTCTAGAAAAATGACAACATTTTGGCGTTATCCTTTGTGCTTTCGTGTGCGCTATGCGGTCCTTGGAGCGTAAACATATGCGTAGGTATCTATACACGTTGGCCGTCGCCACCGGTGGTAGTGTCTATGGGCGGCTTCATTATGACGATCGTTTGTCCTGGTTGACTTCACTCGAGAAGGCCCGGTCCGTCTCAGATCGTTGTCATCATCGTGGCCGACACGCAATTTCGTAGCGGCAGCAGTCATTCTACGGCTGACGAAGTGGACTGAAGTTCATCAGGGTGTAATCTGGTAGGGGCACGGTAACAACGCCGCTCTGAGCACCCGAAATCATCCAACTTCACCATATCGTTGTCGATGTTATATTCCATAGGATGACTGCAGTCACTTCAATTATGGCAATACTGTCACTATCCCATGAAATGAAAAGTGTCGTAACTATAATGTTTCGCTCTTTACTAAAGTTCTGTATGCAATCTTCTAGAAGCTACATCACGTGTGTGTGTGTGTGTGTGTGTGTGTTATCTGTTGTTTTTTCATCGCCATCATTAGCCTGAAGTAGCTTCAGAAAATACCATGATTATGTAGAACAGTAGATGAATGAATAGCGATTAGAAAAAAAACCCATCAGAAATGGTAAATATGAAAATTATGTATTTGATCAACCCTTTCAGACACTGCTAAAAAAGAAGCGATGAAAATTTGGTCTTTAGCACACATAAAAAATTCTCAGGAAGATTCAAGACCAGGATTACACCAGCTCTAATGGAATATTTAATATTAAATAAAGGCAAGCCGGTATTCTTTATTGGAGGCTAGTAGAGACCTGAACGAAATTACTTGTATCCGCGCATAAACTCCCTGTGTAGCCGATTGTGTTAAACGTTGTATCTCTTTGGCCCTGCAATTTACGAACGAAATCTACAGACAACGTCAGCCTAAGCAGTTCATCCTAACGTAGCCAAAAGCTCATCTGGAAACCATCAATTATTTAGCATTATTTAGTGACTTTATGCGATAGGAGAGCAATCACTGCTATAGGAACAACGGGGCAATCGCGAAAACAATTTTTACGGTATCAGCACATATCAACTGCAGTAGAGCGGCGCCAACGACAAGAAGACGAAGGACGGAAGATGCCGTGAAAAATAAACAGCACCGGTAGTAGCTGCAGCAGGCATAACTATCAAGACATCGGCGTAAAGGACCATCGGCAGCGGCAACGGCAATGGCAGTGGTAACATCGAATGCAAAAGGTAACAGTAGTACGACGCAGTGACAAACCGGGTCGCCCCATAAATAAGCGCTGAGGACAGCCGCTGTGAGATACAAGGAATTTCTACTACGACCCCCTGCTGCTAGGACAGCGGACGCTGAACTGAGGCCGACTAGCCATATTTAAGCAAGTCGTGATGCGAGATACAGCCAGACCAACAAACGTTTGGATGGCCGAATAAATGGATTGACGGGCGGACGGACAGAGCGGCAGGCACACAAGTACGAATGTAGCGTAAGGCCGTGACGAGCAGGCTATGTAGTATAGAAGTGAAACCCTCTCTACATTGTGCTGCTGATTTTGTTGCACCAGTAGCTGCTAGTGCCATATCCTTTAAAGGACAAACAGTATAGGAAGTCATGGCTGTGCTTTATTGAAATTATTGTTGCTTTGCCTTTTGTTCCTATCGCTGCAATCACAAGACACAGCAACTGCTATAATGTAATGCCATTTCTAAGAACGACGTCGCGCATTTGCCGTGTTTGACATTAGGTAATAACATAGTATGTTTCTGCCCGTGTGTGAATTGCCAGATGACGAATATATGATACTACATTGTTCCCCAGTAACAAAATTAGCTTAGTTTATTTATAGTCTATGACCCTACATAGAATTGTCTTCCTACGATTCTAATGGAGGACTAAAAATTCAACTATATAACAACACTGCATGTTTCTAAGCAGGTCCTAAAAATCGTGCAGTACAGTATGTTGGCTAGAGAAAGCCATTCGACAAGAAAACAAATTCTAAAACATCCGGAATAGACAGAAAGAAACCGTCACGTTGGTACGCATTACCTTGTTTTAGGTGGTTGCTACCATGTTCCGAATGGCTGCTATTTCTATTGTGTCCAGTTGCTGCTCCTGGCGGACCTCCATGATGTTCTAAAGGACTCTGTCCTCGGTCGCCCTGCAGCCCCCCTTGACCATTTCTTCCACCGTTGATTTCGTCATCACCTCGGTTGTCCCTACGGAACTCGAACGCGCCAGGTCCTGTTCCATTACCATCAAGACCGTCGTGCGTCGCCTGACCGAAAGGTCCACTAACGCTCATTGGACCTTGGGGTCCCTTGTGTCCACCCATGAGAGTCTGCGGGAAAGGACCAGGTTGTCCGCCTTGCATGGCACCAGGATGGCCGCCGCTGCTTTGATGGCCTCCATGACCTCCACTGGCGGGACTCGTCGCGCCAACTCCGCTCAGCCCCACCAGCGACGCGCGGCCGGGAGGTCGGCCCGGTCTGGAAAATGCGAAAAAAAAATCAAAGTGAGCATTCTTTATAATGATGCTGTATCATATTGATGAGTCACATTACATTAATATTTCTACATATATCTCCATAATGACAACAGGCATGTTCGTATCATACAAAAGGGAAATAAGCGTGTCACATTCTATTAGATACGAGGACAAAGGCTTTCTCTCCCTCTCTCTCTCTCACTCTACATATATATATATATATATATATATATATATATATATATATATATATATATTTCGGTTCTGTTTCCAGTAAAGAAAAAGTGACGAAAGGTAAGTAGATAGGAAACTTAAAATAAAATATGGATAACAATTATTCTTTTTTATCATTATCTGGCGCACCCCTGAATTCATCCACCGTCTACAATTTGTAGAGAGTGGCCACCCATGAAGCACTTCAACGAGTTCGGATAGAAAAGGCCATTTTGTCCGCACTCAAGTTTTGCTACCACGTCTCCTTTTTTGCCCGGCCACTTGATCAATCGAAGTAAAAAGAGAGCTAATACGACGAACGAAAACAACGTAGAACTACTCGAACGAAGCAGTGATGACCAGGCACGATTCTTGGAGTCGAAAACAGGTCGTGCGTTATGCAATGACAATTCAAAAGCCGGCAGTTATGTACAAATATACGGAAGATGCTTGTTTGCCTGACGCTGTAAAGCATATCCGTGCATGGCTCGCTTCTTGTGCGATACGTTCACCGTTGTATCGGCCTTCGACGGTTCCTTTATCTTGCCTTAATGCTCCGCTGATATTCGCGTCCCCTCTGAGCCTTCTTCTTTTTTGGTCTACCATATGCGTAGATACGAGCAGGCTTTTTGGTTTCCTACTCTACGTCAGTTCTATTGCGGTTCGATCGACGCTGTCGCCAACGACGCCGTCTCTGCTGCACCGTCCACGCCCGCTTTGTTAGGCTATTGATATTATTTGGTATTACCTTTTAATTTGAGGTTATAGTTATTGCCGATAAACGAGAAGTAGTATATCGTAATTTTTTTTATCCTTTTTTCCGTTTTTCTCAAAGTAATATTAGTGCCTGTAGTAAATCAAAAGCAGACCTTTATGCAAAGAAATAGATACGCGTAAACGCTTTCATAAATGCGCGTGTGCAAATCCACACGTCTTTTGGTGTCTAAGTGGCATCAAACTGGAACCTGTTTGTTACACAATACAAGCAACAATCAAAAACTGTCCCTGTATCTTAATGGCAAAACAGAATTTCCTTGCGTTCGCCCCTCTTCGAGAGATGCAATGGGGCATTTTTTTTGTTCTCGTAGCTACCTGCTACACCATAGAACTGAAGTTAGCTTGCATGGCGAATTAGTTCTTGTTTTATAATGATAATACGATGAAGTAAGGAACGGTACATGCGAAGGAACACTCTCGATTGCAACAGCGTGATACTTGCGAGCATTGGGTATCACAGGTCACAAACACGTAGATATGCTCGCCACCCGTTCTTCGAGTTATATAGGTTGAAAATTTTAGAAAAATCGAAATTCTAGAACAAAAACGAATATGTCGACATCCAGGTGTCCCGAAGTTCGGTAAGCAAACACTTACTGCGCTATTACTAGACCAGATTGGTAGCTACGTATTTGTCCCAGAATTTCGATTTCGACCCGACCCGGTTGTCCACTTCATCGCATGAAAATAAAGTGTCTAATTGAAGGGAATGGGCCTGCTAGGCCTTGCATAGCTATTCGTTGCGACAATAATATGGATGATGATAATCGTAAACACTAAGCGAATAGGCAACAGAGGCTAGCTCAGTCAAGCGGCGGCCACCTAAACTCCGAAAACCAGCAAAGGGCGAGTGAATGAGACGTTGAAACCGAGCAAATAAACAAACAATATGGAGGTACCTCTGCGTCACACAATAGATAGATGCAAACCCTACCGAAAAAAGCCACCACACAGATTTAGGCAAAACCCGAAACTCATTTCTATGTAGAGGTGAAATAGAAATAAAAGGCTCAACGACAGTATCGTTTGCCTAAACGTCCTGGTCAACATAACAATCTTCGAGGTAGAAACACCACAGAAGACGACAAACGGCAACAAGTTGAAGAAGAAATGGGTATAGACTGCTGTCTCTGAAAACATAACGATTTACAACTTCAGCATCGTAAAATCCATAAGCAAAATAGCTTCACTGGTTCATCGTTTTTTCGCTCAAGTGAAGTTCGGAGCGCACGCGTATGTGTATGCACACGTTGGCTGAAGCCGGCGGCAACGAGATGCATGCGACGACAGAAAATGTACGAGTGCGTTGATGAAATATGGCAAAGAAAAAGCGGATTCGATTTCACTTGAAGGGCAGCTATATTCGCCACTCACAAACTCGAATCACCTGTCAGGTTCGAAGCCATCGGCGCTTCATTTCGGCCTTTAGCAACACCGTAACGCACGGTGTCCGTGTCATTGCCATTGGGTAGAATCGGCCCCCAGTGCACCTAGCCGTGTTAGTTTGTTCTAACATAATAGCATCAAGGCTTATCTGACTGTAATGATGTTGCAGCAACGAAGATGTTTCAGTTTAAGCCTCTTTGAGATTTCTTTGTCTTACGCCTGCAGGATGTCGCCTATCAGCAATAATAACAACAAAAATAATAGAACGGGGCCAAAACCGAAAAGCAAAGGAAACATGCTGAAAAGGCGGTGCCCATCAATAAAATGTGTAGATGGGGCCCTTTCCTAGCAGGTTATCAGGCTGGTAACGAACCAGCGAAGCACAAAAGCAAAGTAACGCTTGCCCTGATTGTCGAAAAGTAGATCGGCCGGTCGAGAGGAAACGCTCTTACTTATATCTGCGTGCGCATTCGTAGAAGCTTCGTATAATGTATACGTAAAATTCATGGCCAACAGACATCTAGTCACATGAATGTGTCTGATCTAAAATATTAAGCTAACAACAAATGCAGGAATAGCTAGAACGGCTCAGAACACAAGATGGCCATCGCTGTTTTCGATTGGCTTTTTTTTTTGGCGGATAATCGCGAGCAGACTGCCTCACGTTCGCACTCCCCATACGTGCAAATATGACTGAACGACTGCTGAACTCCTCACACGTTCACGCTTGATGCGTTCCGTTGTTGATTGCATAGCCACTGCCGGAAGCCCATCTATCTATCTATCTATCCATCCAGTCGATTGGCGTACTTTTTTTTATCTAGCTTGCCAGCGACGGGGAGCACAGTGACTAATCAATGGCACGCCAGCCAACAACTAATTATATCGTGGCAATCTAATACTAGCCAAATATCTCATTCTACCACATGAGCACGCCTATAAACGTATATTTGCTAGCCGCAACTTGTCGACCTGTCACAACCATTGACAACGCAACAGTAACTGTCTATGCATGTACCGTATGCCAATAGTTCTGTTTAAAAATCTTACTTCGTCCACATAATATTGTGCCCATAGCAGGCCATTAGTAGCTGAACTATGCGTATAAACAATATCCCATGGTTATTATTCTATGAGTATGTTCGTCCGCTCGTTTGCCTCCTGTAAATCATAGAAACTAAAACTCGTCCTGACTAGTTGAAGATGTATGAAATCCGTATACAATAGTAACTAGCTTATACTTGCTAAAATATGCGATAGACGCGCCTGCGGCGTGACAGGCACTCTCTGGACTGACGCGAGAGAGAAAGGGGCTGCCGAAGACCGAGAACGAATAAGATTTAATGGAACATAATTGAATTAGTGATTTAGCTGATTCCACACATACCCAAGTCTCGTTTGGGTCCTGCTGTTTGTATGCAGGCAGACACCAAAGCAGCCGTAGCAATATTTAACGTCTGAAGCAGACGTTCAGAGGCGCTCACCAGCGTAGCAATACGCCAACCGGAGGCTACGAACGCGGCAGGACCCTGCTAAATGTAATAGTATAGTACATAGACTCGAACTGACTGAAGTAGCAGGCAACAAATACCATTATCATAAACAGAAGTGGCGAAGAGCTCGATGACTAATGCCGGCCGTTAAGCCATTACTGCTGGCAGTCCCAGCTTTGTAATATCATACTAGAGTAATCACTGCTGTGAATCAAACTTGCGATAATATCATCGCGAACGCTGTTCGTTGCTCAGTTCTATAATAGCTAATATAATCATCAGCATCATATAATTCACTCTTCGTTTTATAATTTTCTTTTCTTTATGTATTTGTCCTTATAGCCCGCTCTATCTGTGCATCTGTACCGCTGACTCTGGTACGTCTTTCCTATGATGTCGATCGTTGGATCATGCAGTCAGTTGCCCAATACAAAACAAGACTGTCCTGTTCTATAAGATGTTGGTAGTTGTCGGCTGTTGACTCGAGTGTGCCATTATCTATGCGGCAAACAGGACAACAAAATTCGACGTGAATCCGCCGATGCAAAGGTCGTTCTACTTGGATTTCCAATGCTGTTTCTACGGCTGCTGCCAACGCCTCTGATGCTGCTATCGTCCAACGGCTTAGTACAGACCGTTGCTAAACAGCAGCTTAAGTTCGCTGAGATACGCGCGTGCATACGTACGTAGCTTGCTAAATGAATACCCTAGTGTTTGGGAATCGTGGGAAAAATGAAAATGATTTTTGGGAAAAGCATTGCTTTCGAAGACAACTGTCGTCTCGCCATCCAGCCAGGTTTCTCGTGCGTGAATCGTATCATAGACATTTTTATATCTATAATTTGATACACTCTGGTCAAAATCAAATCTCAATTGTATCACCTAGACATTCATTGAACGTCACAGCTCGTATTGCCATCGTACGGATAATAACCCTCTTTTGTAACTTTTCCTCTGTAGGTATCTATGTAAGTTGGTATAAATTATACAACTTGTGAACGTGTTCTGTGTCCGTTCCAAGTTATAGAGTCGCCTATAGCAAGCGTACGTTAGTTAGTAAAGAGTAGCAATTTTATGGTTAATAACACTATGAAATAAACCGATAATATCAAGTAGAAAGAGTGAGCCAAAT